AAACCCTTATCGCCTGCTTTACCATAAGCTGATTGTTAGAGTTCTCGGCTGATTTTTCTAATTTATGGCAAGGACCGGCCGTAGTAATCTATTGTTAAGAAAATTAAATTTACGCAATGAGGTACTATCATAAAACCGAATTAAAACTGGGGAACTATAATATTTTTACTCCACCCAAGATCCTGAATTCAATACACATGATTACTAAAAATTCATTGTAATATTATTGTTAATATATAGTTTGCTTTCTTAATTAATAAACCTAATAAACATATTTATAATAATAATAAAAAATATATAAAATACAGCTTTTGTTTAACACGTATAAGTAGCTAAGTGTATCTACTACTTATCCCAGAAAGGAGGTGTTTTAAAAAGGTCCTACGCCCAGTAACTTCTCTCTTCATTGTTTACTCGAAAAAAGTGCTCGTATATGTTTTCATTTGCCGAGAGATCATTTTCAAAATATATTTATAATAAAAATATGCAAGTCTTGGTGATGAAAAATGTACTCCTAATAAATTATTAAAGTACATAAAAAAATAGAAACAAATTTTATTTATTTAAAAAAAATCTCTCGCAAAGGCAGGTTCCTCTTTCTTCTTGAATCAATTATTTCGGGCAATAATGCGCCGAAGCAAAATCTGCCAAGTTCATCTGCCATCTTTTTACATATATTTCTTCGTCTTTATAAATTTTTTCTATATCTATTCCATTGGGTGTCCATACAACAAAATAAACTTGTGAAATACCCGTAACAAGCATTTGTCCCTGGACTTGAAAGTAGTAATCATGATTTTTTTTTAGTTTCAATTCTCTGTCTCTCAATGTACAAAATTTGATTTTTTTTTTTCTAACCGCTTCTTCGGGAGACAAATCTTGCGATTTTGAAGGGCATTTAATTTCGACTAATGCACTCCTATCCTCTAGAACCCTGTCTGGACTAGCAGCCAAGTAAGGAAATTGTTTTGAAATAAACAAGCCACACCGTTCAGTTTTTATATTTTTATTTATTTCAAAACACTTGACAGCTTTTTCCTCACTTTGCTGTCCATAGTATGTATGACTATTACCTCTAAATGGACTGTACAACAGAGACTCCACAGTTTTAGCTATTGCTGTAGTCGGTCTAAGTTTGTAAATACGTCCAAAATTTGAAGCCGTAACCCTAATTTCTCTTTCTTTTGCCCAAATGTGCCCGTTCCCTAGTGTCTATTTCAATTTGGTCTAAATTCAAAGGTAATTTTCTCAAAGAAACCTCTTTGGCTGTCACAAATGTATCTACATCCATGGCAGGATTTTCTAAAAAATATTTAAACCATAATCGTAGTCGGGACTAACATACGTACATTTTTTTACGACATATTTTTTTACGAATACTTTATCTAAGACGAGCTTGTTTCATAGACGAACAATATTTTTTTGTTATTAAACCAGGGCCATTTTAATCACAATATATTTACTTATCCCCTCTAAAAAATTGATGGCGTCATCTCAAAATTTTGCTGAATAAATCCTATCTAAAATGTACAAAATATGATGAGTCTCTTCTTGTAATTTATCATCCCATTCATATTTTTTGGATTCGGATATATAGGGCGACTCAAAAAATTTAATGAATGCGCAAACTTATTTTATTAATTTAATCAGGAACTACAAAACCGAATGCTTTGAAATCTTGGAAATGTTTTAAATTTATCATAAGCATGGTAAATTTTTGATCAAAATATATTTGCTCATCCCTCCAAAAAAATGGATGACGCCGCCCCAAAATTTTGCTGAATAAATCCTATCTAAATTGTATAAAATATGATGAGTCTCTTCTTGTGATTTATCATTCCATTCATGTTTTTTGGATTTGCATATATAGGATGACCCCAAAAATTAATGAATGCGTAAATTTATTTTATTGATTTAACCAGGAACTACAAAACCGAATGTTTTGAAATCTAATGTGAAAAAAAAAACATAATAGGCATGCAGTCGTCACGTTTCCGATAGCGAGGGAAGTACTGTCTAAACTCTTTAGACCATTTTTTTTTATTTTCCCATTTCTCCATTTCTCAATTTTTCAATGTTTCAGTTTGGGATTTTTTCACTGTTTTCGATTCTTTCATTTTTCTTCCATTTTTAGGTTTTTCAATATTTCAGTTTTGGAGTTTTGCAATATTTCGTTTCTTCAATTTTTCAAATTTTTGATATTGTGTTTTCTCGGTTTTTAAATTTTTCGATATTTTAATTTTTCAGTTTTTAAAGTTTTAGGTTTTTAGATTTCTCACTATCTCGACTTTTCGATTTTTCAGTTCCATGATTTTTCAATTTGTCGAATTTTTAAATTTTAGATTTTTTGTTTTCTTTGATGTTTTGAGTTCTCGATCATTCGATTTTCTGAGTTTTCTGGCTTAGATTTTTTTTGTTGTTCAATTCTTGGATTTTTAAAATTTTTGTTTTTTAAATTTTCCTATTTATCAACTTACTGGGATTTCAATGTTTTGATTTTTTGATTGTTCAATTTCTCGATTTTTTGAATTTTTAGTTTTTGATACGATTTTTTTTCAAAAATATTCAGTTTTTCATTTTATTAACTTTACGATACTTCAGTTTTGCTCGATTTCGATTTCTCAATTTTTTGAAATATTACTATTGGGATTTTTCAATTTATCGATTCTTCGATTTCTCAATTTTCCGATATTTCAGTTTTACGATTTTTAAATTTTTTTATTTTTCAGTTTTCAATTTTTGACGTTTCTAAATTTTTGGATTTCTCAATTTTTCGATTAACTGATTTTTTGATTTTCCCATTTCTCTATTTCTCGATTTTTCAATTCTTCGTTCAATTGTGATTTTCCAATTTTTCGATTTCTGAATTTTTCAATGTTTCAGTTTTGGATTTTTTCACTTTTCCGATTCTTCAATTTTCTTTCCATTTTTCAGTTTTTCAAGATTTCAGTTTTGAATTTTTTCACTTTTTCGATTTTTCAATTTTTCTACCATTTTTCAGTTTTTCAGTATTTCAGTTCTGGGATTTTGCAATGTTTCGGTTCTTCAATTTTTCCATTTTTTGATGTTTCGATTTCTCGGTTTTTCACTTTTTCGATAGGTATTTTAATTTTTCAATTTTTAAGTTCTAGATTTTCCGTTAATTATTTTTCTTTCCTTGATGTTTTGGTTTGTCGATTATTCGATTTTTCAAGTTCTCCGTTTGGATTTTTTGGTTTTCCAATTCTTCGATTTTTAAATTGTTTAATTTCTAGATTGTTCAATTTCTCGATTTTTAAATTTTTCAATTTTTCGGTTTACCGATTTTTTTTTCGTTTAAAATGTTTCAATTTTTCAATTATTAACTTTTCGATTTTTCAATTTTGGTCTAATTTGATTTCTTAAATTTTTAATTTTTTGACTCCTCTACTGTACGATGTTTTGATTTCTCGTTGTTTCAGTTTTTGAATAATCCGATGTTTCGATTTTTCGACTTCTTGGCTTTTCGAGTGTTCAATTTTTTGATTTTTGAATTTTAGATTTTTGTTTTTTTGATTTTTTTGGTGTTTCGATTTCCCAATTCTACAATTTTTCGATATTTTTATTTTTCAATTTTTCGAATTTTTCAATTTTTGATTTTTCTTTTCTTTTATTTCTCAATTTTTGGATTTTTTAAATTTTACATTTTTCAATTTTACTATTTTTTGATGCTTGGATTTCTCAATTTTTCAAGTTTTCAATACTCAATTTTTCAGGATTTGAATATTGAGAACTTTTCAATTTCTGGATTTTCAATTTTCAGATATTTTAATTTTTTGATTTTTTAATGTTTCGATTCTTGGGTGTTTTGATTTTTCGATGTTTAAAGTTTTTGATTTTTCGATTTTTCCGATTTGTTGTCTATTTTAAGTATATTTCATTTTTCAATTTGCGCCTTCTGCGGGAGTATTATGTGTTGTACTGCACTTGACGGGCGAGGGAAGTTCTGTCGAAATAATCTTCGACCAATTTTTATACTTAGCACGTAGGGTTCTTACTAAGCATTCCTTATTTAACCGAACAGTTATTAATTTAACTAAGCAGCTATTATTTCACCAAGCATATATTATTTTTACTGAGAATTTATTTTTTAACTAAGCATTTATTATATAACTTAGCATTTATCATTTTTACTGAGCAAAAATACAGAGCGTTTAAAAATAGAACTGTGCATTTAATTTGTTCCCTTATCTAAACAACAAGAAAACGGTATTAATAATACATTTAGGCGAATAAACTAATAGACGGGCTTGATAAGTCTTGTTTGCTCTACAGTGTCTAAATTGTGTTTGAATAATATAATACTTATCTCGAATACTAAAATTAATATGTCAAAAGAATACGAGAAATGATTATTCTGTGCTGAAGGTATGTTGTGGGCCGACTGTCATAAATTATCATCATTCTTCATTATCGGCTTACGATGTTTTTATGACCCTTTATGACCCACGTCCGGTAGTCGTCTATCCCAAAGAGTCAGGTAGATTTAAAGAAGAATTGCTGGTTGCGTTTAAGGCAACAAATGGCGTCCAATTCAAACTTGTCTCTTGTCTAGCGTTCCCCCTTAACCAAAACCGCAAGCACAACAATACAATTTTTTTGACATTTAGGTATTGGAGCATCTTGTCCCTTGCCTCATCAAATTCTCAACTCATGAACCGCCCCTGGCTGTTCCGCTTTCCCCGTTCTCTGAGAAATGAAGATTAAAAAAAAAACGCTCTCTCTTTACCTGGAATTCAGTCACTGTTGTGGACGACCAATTCTTGATTACCTAAATGCTTCTTTGCCCTAAAACTAAGTCTTCTAGTTCTTCAGTAGCCACATGTCCAGAATTCTTCCTCACGGGGGCTTTTTTCGGCGAAAACTTGCTACCAAAATGCTACCAAACAGTCGCATGGTCACACTTTTGAAAAATATTTAACTTTGTGGTAATCGCGGTTGTCATGGAAACTAGTAACTAAAACTAGTGACATTTGACCCCCCAATTGGTATCAATGTTAACCTCATTGACGTAAGTCAATCAACTTGTTTTTATTATTGTTTAGCATGAAAATAAATGAGAAAAATCTGTGTTCGTTCGCCGTGTCGGCGACCCCCGTGGACAAAGAGGGCTATTTGAACAAACGCGGCGAAGTGAACCGCAACTTCCAGCGGCGCTACTTCATGCTAAAAGGCAACCTCTTGTTCTACTTCGACAAGAAAGGGGACAAGGAGCCGGTGGGCGTGATAGTTCTCGAAGGCTGCACGATCGGTACGTAGCGCCCCTTTCGCAGCCCCCACTAACCCCCATCCGTAGAACTCGCCGAAGACGACGAGCAATTCAGCTTCAAAATCGTCTTCCATGGCCTCAACAACCGCAGCTACATTCTGGGGGCGGAGTCCCAGGAGGCCATGGAGCAGTGGATGAAGGCGTTGGCCTGCGCCGGCTACGACTACATGAAACTGATGGTGGCGGAGTTGCAGCGTCAGCTTGACGACATTGACGGTATTTAAATTATCTTATTTAATTATTATCTTATCAGTGTGTTTTATTTTTCTGACGATGAATTTCGCGGAGATTGAAAATTACGAAATCGGGAAAAGCAGGTTTTATGTTGTTCTAGAGACGCCGCTGCCGGTCACGCAGGCGGTTAACTCGCCGGTGCCCCCTCCGAGGCACCGGCACAACCCGTTCAACAAGCCCGAGAACAACACGCCGCACCAGCGCTCGCACAGTTTGCGCTCGAATAACAACTCAGGTAGTGCGCATTTGTCGTAGGTTTGTGTTTGTGAGGGAATTGTTTCAGTGAGAATGGAGGAGAATCGATGGGTGGACTCGGTTCCGCAGTCGAAGGCGAGTATCACGTTTCGGGAGTTGCACAACGCGTACGGGAGGCCGATTTTGAGGGACTTTAATTTTTGGAAAAACGAGCAGAAGCAGATGTTGCAGAAGTCGCAGACGGTGGAGAATTTGATCACGTTTTAACGAGTGAGAGTATGAGTGGGTGTGAATGAAAGCGGGAGTTATACTCATGGAGCGATTTATTAATAATACCTAATTATATGTATATAATTATTTATAAAGTTATTAACATTTTATGTGTATTTGCTATTTCAACTAATGTCAATAAAATATTTACAAATTTATTTAACTATAAATCCCAATTCCCTAAAATTGACATATTCTTATACAACAGTAGCTATTTATGTACAGTACAAATGTTGAACGTCTCTATTTGAACAAGTAACAGTCCTATACCGTTCATAATAAAAATATATTATGTAAAATTAAATAAGTATATAAATAAGAATAGCAGGTAAGTAAAGATGAAACGCCAGGAAATTACAAAGTTATATAAAATACTGTTAAAATTATTAGTACAGTTTGTTTCAGATTACTGACTCCACAGAGCAACCAAAATCACAGTATGGTGAAACAAAAAAGGACAACGAGGAAATAAACAAAAACGAAACATTGTATCTTTACCAACATACGGTTAATGAGATCTTTGTTTAAGTACGTTGGTAAGACGCGTCCGTAATTACGACAGTAAATGCTACAACTAAATAGGTAACGAAATCATGCACAGGCCGTCGAAACATTTCATTGAAACACCCGAGTTGTGAACCATTTAGTGATAACCTCTGAGGCAAGTTTTAATAAGATACGTTTAAACCATTGGCCCCAGTATTTTTAATACATATTTATTACATTCAATATACGTACATCGGTTAATAACATTTCTGCTAGGACTATTGTAAAATGTAGCAAATTGACAGAAATTTTTGATTAAGTATTTGTTATGTACAAATTGTCCTAAAATGTTTATTTACGTTTTATGTACATAGACACGATTGTACCCAAAGTCCTATCTTCATCTGTCTTTGGCAAACTTGGTTTGATTATTCACCAACAAATGTCGATTAGTATGGTCTACATAAAATTTTGATAGTTAAATTTGCCTATTATTCAGTCTAAGTATCTCGGTTTCTTTTTATCGTTTTGTACATATTTATATACAAACAACAGAAAAATAAATTATTTCTTGTACATAATTTACAACTTTACAATATTCAAAATTTTTTAAATCGCAAAATTAACAACAAATAAAACAACAACCTATATAACACACTTTGTCAAAAAACACTTTGCAAAACACTGAAGTAACTGGCAGTTAATTAAAATTTTCGGCGCCCTTATTGGATTACTCTTAAAATTAACCTCTAAATATCACAATTTTTTTGTTTGTACACTTAATTAAAAAAGGATATTATTGGCATTGTCACACAATTAAAAATTAACTGATACTAAAATATCTATTACGTCACGATGAGTATTTTTTAATCATTGATTCGCTTCATCTGAACGCATCGATTACTTGTAATAAAAACTTAACAAAAACGAAAAAAACTGTTAAAACGATATTCAGAGTCAACAACTGACAAATTATAAAAATAAAGCACCAACTAGTTCAGTGGTTTACAAAAGCGCTGCTGTGGTATGATATAACTGGACTAAAACCTGCATATGGACAGGTAAACAAGATAACCGGTCCTTTGTATTCGAATCCAGCGCTAGCCAAGACAGAGCGTTGTAGCCTTCAAGTACGTATCTGAAACAAAACGACAATTTCAAATTTTACGCAATTCCAATAAGGATAATTTTTCTATTTTTGTTAATTATTAAAGTTATTTTTTAGCTGAGTTCATTAAAATACATTAATTGGAGAAACGAGGGGCGGGGCTAAGTTTAGTTTTAAAATTTGTTTAATCATCCCCACCAATAATGTGATGACGTCACTTCAAAACTGTCCATAGTAAATTGGTTTTAAAGTGTATAAGATTTGTTTATACGGGGTGTTTGCATTAGTAAATATTAATTCAATTTTATAAAACAAGATACTCCTTCACATGTGATTTATGAATCTGTGTTTAGTTTTTATTCTAGAGACCTATGTTTTTGGAAAAAAAAATGAAAATTGTATAACAATATTTTGTAATTTAACTTTGAAACGGCAAAACCGAATACTCCGAAATCATGAAAAGCGTTATTTTACAATGTTCTTCAAATTTATGAGTGTTTTTGGGAAAAATCTGAGTGTGGTTAATTAATTCTCTTCTAGGTTGAGGAGACAACATCAAATTTCATTTCCTTTTAACCGCTAATGCTTGTAATCGGAACGTAGTAATAGTAAAATTTTTTCGAAGTATAAATGTAAACGTAAATAGTGGATGTTAAGCATGTACTGAGAAATTGAGAATATCCACATTTTTTCATATTGGTTATCTGCTTTAATTATATTTCACATTTCATATTCTCCACATTTCTGCGTACCGTGGGGTGTTAATTACACCATTAATTTTTACTTTATAGAGATTATCACGAAACCAAAACCGCAAAATCAGATTTTGTAATATCTTAAAGAAGAGGGATTTATCGGATTACGCTTCAAGGGGAAGGAATTTCTGTTGGAATAATTTTCGATTTTTTTTTAAGAATTTCAAATCTTGAGGACCCCAACTGTTTTTTTTTTTTAATGTGAAAATCATCTCGGGGGTCTCAACTATCTTTTTTTTTAAGAAGGCGAACCCTCGGAAGAGCCCAATTGTTGTTTTGTTTTAAGGCCCCAAGTGTCTTTTTTTTTTAATAAAAGGTGAAATCTTCTCGGGGCACTGTCTTTTTTTTTAAAGGGTGAAACTATAGCCCCTAGAAAATACATAGCATCGTCACCGTGGAGCAAACCTGGCGGAAACTTAACAAAAACAAAAATTATTAACACCATTTGACAGACCGCGAAATTTAAAATGGTTTTATACTGGATTTAAAGGTTGTAGTTTATATACAAAATATGGATTTTTAATTTGTATAAAATATAAAATTTAATCAATAAAATCTTATTTAATAATTATTAGTTATATTAATTGGCAATTAATTGACTTTAAACAAAAAGACTACGCCAAGATCACGTGACAACAACGGTTTACGCGCTGTCAACTCTCTGCTGACACAATTTGGTTCCAAACCAGGGGAATTTTTTGCGTTACCAACTGCATTTGCTCCACTCGTACAACAATGGATGACGGTACTATGTATTTCTAGGGGCTATAGGTGAAACCTTCTAGGAGTCCTCAATTGTCTTTTTTTATAGAAGGTGAAACCTCGGGGCACTATCTGTCTTTTTTAAACAGTGAAACCTTCTCGGGGGCCTCAACTGTCTTTTTTTAAGAAGGTGAAACTTTCTCAGGGGCCCCAACTGTCTTTTTTTAAAGTGAAACCTTCTCAGGGGTTCCAAATGTCTTTTTTTTTTAAGAAGGTGAAACCTCACGGGACCCAACTGTCTTTTTTTTTTAAAGGTGAAACCTTCTCAGGGGCCCCAACTGTCATTTTTTTTTAAATGAAACCTTCTCAGGGGCTCCAACTGTCTTTTTTAAGTGAAACTTCCTCAGGGGTCCCAACTGTCTTTTTTTAAAGAAGGCGAAACATTCTAGAGAGCCCCAAGTGTCTTTTAAGAAAATAAAACCTTCCCAGGGCCCCAAACTGTCTTTTTTTTAGAAGGTGAAACTCTCTCAGGGGCCCCACCTATCTTTTTTTTTAAAGGGTGAAACCTTCTCAGGGGCTCCAACTGTCTTTTTTAAAAGGTGAAACCTTGTCGGGGGCCTCAACTGTCTTTTTTTTAAAGGTGAAACCTTCTCAGGGGCCCCAACTGTCTTTTTTAAATGGTGAAACCTTCTCAGGCGTCCCAACTGTATTTTTTTTTTTAAGTGAAACCTTCTCAGGGGCTCCAACTGTCTTTTTTTTGTAAGGTGATAATCTTCTCGGGGGCCCTGACTGTATTTTTTTTTAAGAAGGCGAAACCTTCTCAGGGATCCCAACTGTCTTTTTTTTTAAAGGTGAAACCTTCTCGGGGTTCCCAACTGTGTTTTTTTTTTTAAAGGTGAAACCTTCTCGGGGGCCCCGACTGTCTTTTTCTTTTAAATTGAAACCTTCTCAGCGGCTCCAACTGTCTTTTTTAAAAGGTGAAACCTTGTCGGGGGCCTCAACTGTCTTTTTTTTAAAGGTGAAACCTTCCCAGGGGCCCCAACTGTCTTTTTTAAATGGTGAAACCTTCTCAGGCGTCCCAACTGTATTTTTTTTTTTAAGTGAAACCTTCTCAGGGGCTCCAACTGTCTTTTTTTTGTAAGGTGATAATCTTCTCGGGGGCCCTGACTGTATTTTTTTTTAAGAAGGCGAAACCTTCTCAGGGATCCCAACTGTCTTTTTTTTTAAAGGTGAAACCTTCTCGGGGTCCCCAACTGTGTTTTTTTTTTAAAGGTGAAACCTTCTCGGGGGCCCCGACTGTCTTTTTCTTTTAAATTGAAACCTTCTCAGCGGCTCCAACTGTCTTTTTTAAAAGGTGAAACCTTGTCGGGGGCCTCAACTGTCTTTTTTTTAAAGGTGAAACCTTCTCAGGGGCCCCAACTGTCTTTTTTAAATGGTGAAACCTTCTCAGGCGTCCCAACTGTATTTTTTTTTTAAGTGAAACCTTCTCAGGGGCTCCAACTGTCTTTTTTTTGTAAGGTGATAATCTTCTCGGGGGCCCTGACTGTATTTTTTTTTAAGAAGGCGAAACCTTCTCAGGGATCCCAACTGTCTTTTTTTTTAAAGGTGAAACCTTCTCGGGGTCCCCAACTGTGTTTTTTTTTAAAGGTGAAACCTTCTCGGGGGCCCCGACTGTCTTTTTCTTTTAAATTGAAACCTTCTCAGCGGCTCCAACTGTCTTTTTTAAAAGGTGAAACCTTGTCGGGGGCCTCAACTGTCTTTTTTTTAAAGGTGAAACCTTCTCAGGGGCCCCAACTGTCTTTTTTAAATGGTGAAACCTTCTCAGGCGTCCCAACTGTATTTTTTTTTTAAGTGAAACCTTCTCAGGGGCTCCAACTGTCTTTTTTTTGTAAGGTGATAATCTTCTCGGGGGCCCTGACTGTATTTTTTTTTAAGAAGGCGAAACCTTCTCAGGGATCCCAGCTGTCTTTTTTAAAGGGTGAAACCTTCTCGGGGGCCCCAAGTGTCTTTTTTTTAAGGTGAAACCTTCTCAGGGGCCCCACCTATCTTTTTTTTTAAGGGTGAAACCTTCTCAGGGGCTCCAACTGTCTTTTTAAAAAGGTGAAAACCTTCTCGGGGGCCTCAACTGTCTTTTTTTTTTTAAAGGTGAAACATTCTCAGGGGCCCCAACTGTCTTTTTTAAATGGTGAAACCTTCTCCGAGGTCCCATCCGTCTTTTTTTTTTAAACGTGAAACCTTCTCAGGCGTCCCAACTGTATTTTTTTTTAAGTGAAACCTTCTCAGGGGCTCCAACTGTCTTTTTTTTTTAAAGGTGAAACCTTCTCAGGGATCCCAACTGTCTTTTTTTTTTAAGGTAAAACCTTCTCGCGAGCCCCAACTGTCTTTTTCTTTTAAATTGAAACCTTCTCAGCGGCTCCAACTGTCTTTTTTTTAAAGGTGAATCCTTCTCGGGGGCCCTGACTGACTTTTTTTTTAAGAACGTGAAACCTTCACGAGGGCCCCTTCTGTCTTTTTTTTAAGATGAAACCTTCTCAGGGGCCCCAACTGTCTTTTTTTTTTTTTAAAGAGTGAAAGCTTCTCAGGAGCCCCAACTGTCTTTTTTAAATGGTGAAACCTTCTCCGAGGTCCCATCCGTCTTTTTTTTTTAAACGTGAAACCTTCTCAGGCGTCCCAACTGTATTTTTTTTTTAAGTGAAACCTTCTCAGGGGCTCCAACTGTCTTTTTTTTTGTAAGGTGATAACCTTCTCGGGGGCCCCGCGACTGTCTTTTTTTTAAAGGTGAAACCTTCTCAGGGATCCCAACTGTCTTTTTTTTTAAAGGTGAAACCTTCTCGGGAGCCCCAACTGTCTTTTTTTTAAAGGTGAATCCTTCTCGGGGGCCCCGACTGACTTTTTTTTTAAGAACGTGAAACCTTCACGAGGGACCCTTCTGTCTTTTTTTTAAGATGAAACTTTCTCAGGGGTCCCAACTGTCTTTTTTTTTTAAAAAGTGAAACCTTCTCAGGGGCTCCAACTGTTTTTTTTAAAAGGCGAAATCTTTTCGGGGGCCCCAAGTGTCTTTTTTTTTTAAGATGAAACCTTCTCCGGGGCCCCAACTGTCTTTTTTAAAGGGTGAAACCTTCTCAGGGGCTCCAACTGTCTTTTTTAAAAGGTGAAACCTTCTCGGGGGCCTCAACTGTCTTTTTTTAAAGGTGAAACCTTCTCAGGGGCCCCAACTGTCTTTTTTAAATGGTGAAACCTTCTCGGAGGTGCCACCTGTCTTTTCTTTTTTAAACGTTAAACCTTCTCAGGCGTCCCAACTGTATTTTTTTTTAAGCGAAATATTCTCAGGGGCTCCAACTGTCTTTTTTTTTAAGGTGATAACCTTCTCGGGGGCCCTGACTGTATTTTTTTTAAGAAGGCGAAACCTCGGGGGCCCCAACTGTCTTTTTTTTTAACGTGAAACCTTCTCGGGGGCCCCGACTGTCTTTTTTTTAAAGGTGAAATCTTCTCGGGGGTCCCAACTGTCTTTTTTCTTTTAGGTTTTCTCAAGGCCCCAAAAATATTTTGTTTTTAAGATGAAACTTTCTTTTTTTCTCTTAGTCTGTCTCAAAAAAATTAACGACTGAGTCAATTTATTTTATGAACAACCAGTAGCCCCGCCCACCCACCCTCTCTTCATTCCAGTGACCACTCTCTCTTCAGTTTTAACCTAGTAAGTTTTAGCCCCGCCCACCCACCATTTGTTTTCATAGAGGATATATCATTTAACAAAATCAGTGTTAACAACTAGTAGACCCGCCCACTCACCCTCTATTTTTTTTGAAGAGTATGTCATTTGTCACAGTCAGTCTTATATTACTAAGTACTTGTACTTTTTGTTATCTGTTCACACTCTAGTCAAAATTTTCGGAAACTGGTGGGTGTATCTCATTAGTGGAGGACTAATTGTCATTTTTCACATTTTTCTTTCATTAATAATGTAATTGTGTAAAATTAAAATGAGTTATTTTCATAAAATCTACTCAGTTGGCAGCACTGCCCACTCACCTTAAGACATCAGTGGTATACTGCGAATCCAGCGGATGCGACGTGACCGCCGCTTGTTGGAACAGGTCGTCCGAGCTCTGCTGTATGCTCGGGCTGTGCAAATGCAGCGCGTTCTTCAGAAACGCCGGACAGATCCCCTCCAGATGTGGGCACGACGCCCAGAACCACCTCGGCATCCTGCCCGTCGGCGCCGTCGACACGTAATACCCCAGCGCGAGCGGCTGCTGCAGCAACGTGCCCACCTCCTCCGCCGCCTCCACGCCTTTCGAGTTGGCGGCGCCGCAGTGGAACGGACTGCCTTGCCTGCCGTTGTTCACCCCGCAATTCGGGCTCTCCTGCCCCGACTCCTCCCTGCGCGGGCTTCCCGTGGGGCTTTGCCCCCCGCCCGGCCCCGTCTCCGGCCAGTTGAAAATATCGCTGAAGTCGTTCATCCCGTCGATCCCCTCCGGCATGTCCTCGGCCGTGAACGCGCTGAACAGCTCGTCGTCGCCGAGCTCCGGCGTGATGTGCTGCTCCTGGAAGGCCGTCTGCGACGACTGCGTCGTGGCGCTCGTCGGGAACACCAGGATGTGCGTGCAGCTGACGTCCTGCGGCGTCGACAGCTGCGAGTTGACGCTCACCTGGCTGAAGCGCTCGTCGGGCGTGAACTGGTCGGGCATGAGTCGCAGCACCGAGTCCGGCTCGAGGCTGACTAAACACGCGCTGAGGATGCACGGCACCGAGCTGGGGTACATGAGCGAGCACTGGTTGCAGATCTCTTTGAGGCTCTTCGACGCGTTGAGGAGGTTCTTCTTGCTGAGGAGCCAGCTCCAGCCCTTGAGTTCGCCGTGGCCGATGCGCCCGAGCCGGCCGACGACGAGCCGCCACGGACGCACGCTCTGCGACATCACGCCGAGGATGAAGTTCATGAGTTTCTCGAGGCCTATCCGACGCGCCGACGCCTTTTTCCGTCTGCTGCGGTTCGGGATGTCGATGTTGATGGTGACGGTCTCGAAGATCTCGCCGCGCTCGTCGGTCGCCACGGCCAAAAGCCAGCTCTGATCTTCGGAGAGGCAGTAGCTGAGGTAGAGGACGGAGGCTTGGTCTCCGGTGCCCTTGCCGAACGACTCGACGGCTTCGACTTTCTCGCGCATGGGGGCCAAGATGTACGGAGGGGTGTAGAGCTTGTAGGCGGCGCGGTTTTTGTCCTTGAGGAAAAAAAAATGTCTTAACGAGTGACTCAATGAAGTTTCATAAAACAACTGGAGTATTTTGTGTTTTCAGATTGGTAGCCAGTACAAATGTCATTGTCCAAAAATAATAAATAAAACAAACGTCAAAAGAACGAAATAATGCTTTTGATACGCAAAACAAGATTCGGCAATAAATCCTGGTCTGAGTAATTTTCTGGAAACCGCGGGGCGCAAGATTGTCTTCAGCTTCAAAATTGTTAATCTGACATTTGTCATACCAACCACGGCGAAATTCCCCTGCATTTTGAAATTCCAATTTTGATTTTAATTTAAAAAAATGAAAAAAGGGGTGGAAGTAGAAAAAATAGCATAAAATACACGTTCATCCCTGAGGAAACGGAAATTAGGGGATTCGTGTCTTAAAATAATGTCTTGAGACTTGTTCATTAAAATACTATAAATGCCCCGTGTTTTATGCAACCAAATAAACATCAATCAAGATTTGCTCAAAAATGCACTTACATCTTTACTCTTCAAAAATTGGTCGGCCATTGCGGCCGTGCCGAAACCTGTGAGGGATTTAACGTTGTTTGTGTGCACCAGGAGGCGGCGACATTGAGAGAAAATGTTCAAGGAGAGTGCTCGCATGTGGTCGCTATGGCGCGTCCGGTCTCTGGCTTTGCCAAGTTCGACGATGCTCTCCATAGATATGATCTAAAACAATCGGGTCTTGATTAGCTTGTCATGAGGGAAAAACCTACTTTATACTTGAGATACATATACATTTTTTTCTACGATTATTGTGTGTAATTGTGATAATTTCTAAAAACGTCTTCATAAACTAGAAAATTCGGAGAAAAAAATGCCATGAGAGATGTGTGCTCTTGATAGCTGAGCATAGCAGATCAATAATTTATTAATATTTAACTTATTTTCGACTTCTGTACCCAAGAAGATAACCTTTTGTACAGAAGTGAAGAACATGATGTTTGGATAAAATTATAATAATGATGACAACGCTGGAGATATTTACAAACAATGTGGTTACAGCCATTTAACCTCAAAAAACAACACTCAATTTTTTTTTGTTTACAAATGATAAGTGAAAAATAAAGATTGGTAAAATATCTCTCTGCATACAAAATTTGCCAAGTTTTGGAGAAAACACTTCTTAGAATCACCAAACAATACTACCGTTCCTATTGGTTAGAAAACACGTGTCACAAAAAAAATTTACCTGTACACTAATGTTATTTCGGATATTCTCTGGTACTGCCGCCAGTACCGACTGAAAACACCGTAATAGTGCCAAACAGGCCAGCCTTTGCAATTCGGGTTGGTCCGAGCCCAACGAGAACGGCTCCACTAGGTATACAACCACCGATGGAACCTCCCGCTCGTCGTCATCGTATGGATTTTCAGGAACTGTATTTGACTGAGGTGCTGAATCCTTCATGCCGTCTGCATCTACAACCCCAAAACCACCATTAACCCCGTTCCATACACACAATTTTTTTCGTACCTTGTTCGCTCTTCGGCGTGCTGGGCGCCTTCTCCGCCCCCGAGCTCTGCCCGCTGCCGTCCGGCGTGCTCGGCGGCGGCATCGGGCTCGGCGTCGGTTTGTCGCCCGTTTCCGGGGGCGGGTCCAGCAGCGTCTTGTCCATCGGCACCTGCTGCAGATGCGGCGCCAGATGGTGCTTGCACACTTGCGCGTACAACTTCAGCATGTCCGTGATCTCGCCCTCCCCCAGCAACGTGAACCAGTCCTCCACGGGCTCGTTGCCGATCTTCGTTTTCGCCGTTTTTCCCACCCGCAGGATGCCGTCCCGCAGCACTTTGGTGATGGGGCTGTGCCTGCCTAGCTTGCACATCTCGTACGCCGTCGAGAGCTCCTTGAAGAAGGCACGCACTCGGGGCAATACGGCGTCGTTGTCGGGCGCCACCACGATGTAGGCGACGTCCCGGGCGAACGAGTACGGCTCGAGGAGGAGGCTCTCCCAATGCTGGATGGCGTAGGGCGAGAGCGACAGCCAGTCTTTGTCGTGGCCCACCACGACGGAGGGGATGGGCTGGGGCTCGCAGCGGTCGTCGGTGCCTCTGCCTGCCAACCTAGACACGAAAGCGTCATCATCTATTATATTACACGTAGACACGATGACGCACCTGTGGAACTGCCGCCACGTCAAGGGCCCCTTCACCGCCGACGGCGCCTCCCACAGCCGCGTCTGGCACTTCTTCTGGATCGCTTCCTGGAGGAGCGGCTGCAGGGATTTCATGACTCGGACGATGTCCTGGTTGCACTGCGGTCCGTTGGCCCGCAGGAAGGGCCACCGGTGGACCGCGTAGCCCTCCGACTTGCCGTGCTTCTGGTGGCCGTCCTCCATCTTGCACACGGAGAGGTTCTCGAACATGTTCCGGCTCTGCTCGAGGGCGATGGTGGTGACTTCGTTACTATCCGAATATTCGAGGACGTGCACGTTATTGGAGAAGACGGTCGGTTTCGGGTAGACGTAGCGCGCCGCTCGACACAAAGCGTTTGCTGTACTAGGGATGAACACGCACTGTTCGCGGATCAGTTCGAGAAGACTGTGTGGAAGGATGTCGACTTGCTCGCGGTCCAGGGCCGGATTGAGCTTGATAGAGTTGGTGGCGATGAGGAACGAGAGGAGGGAGGCTTTCTTCTTCTCGCCGGGGTCTTCCGCGATACCTGAAATAACACCATTTTAAATATTGTTCACTACGTAAAAAAAATTTTAACAAGATTTTTGTTAACGAAACGTCTTCAATAAAAATTTTCCACAAAAAAATAATATTAAACGAATTTTACTTCTCGATCATACGGTAACGGGAGCATTGTACCGAGAGAGCAGTAAAAACACGATCAAAAACAAATACGGATTTTTGAGGGTTTGTCTTTGATAGAATTTTTATTGCTCTCTCAGTGCATTCGTGAACTTAATGCCAAGACAACAATAAAAAACATCATCAAAGAAAGACACGGATTTTTGAAGAATTGTCTTTGATAGAATTTTCGTTTTGTCAGATTATTGTCAATTTAAAAGTTTGAGATGAGAACGCAACGATGAAAGACAAACTTCAAAATTCCATTTTAAACTTAATTAAAGTTTCATGTTGTCAAAAGAAGTCTACACATATTACAACAAAAGGCAAAAAATGTAAGCCCGCCCACCCGCCCTATCTCAATTCTGATGATTTTTCTTATTCGTCGTGAACCAAGGGGGGCGGAGCTTAACTGCAAAATACTTAATTCTTTACAAGAAATTGAAAACATGTTTTTCAGTATTGTGTTGTCCAAAGAATACATACTATGTACATTTGGGAAAAAATATATATAAACCCCGCCCACCCACCCCATCTCAATTGTGATGATCTTTTTTTATTCTTAGAAACTTAAAGCACGTTTAAAATGATAAATTTTTGTAAGGAAATGTGGATTTTGCAATTAGGCTCCTCCCCTAGGTCTACCAACGAATGAAAACTTCATTACTATTTACATCAGGGCAGATATGGGTGGGGCTTAATCTTTGGCCTTATTTTATTCTTAACATACATAGTATTCTTTGCATAACACCAATATTCAAAAACATGTCTCACATGGTAATTTCTTGTAGAGAAATAATAAGGATTTTGCAATTAAATTATCAGAATTGAGATAGGGCGGGTGGGGGGGGGGGGCTTATTTTTTCCCTTTTTTCTTAAATCATGCATTTGTTAAAATTGAAAAAAAAACACCAACATTTATCACTGTTAAAATCGCCATGAACATTTTATGATTTCAAAAAAAAAGCAAGAAATTCCTAATAATGATTTTATGGTTTGTAATTACTTGGTTTAATTTCAAAACTAAAAGTTTTGGTATTAATGCTTTCACAAAGTTAGGTAAAAATACCATATGATCACAAAAAAGTGATGTAGTAAACCATCAAATTTATTTTTAAAATAATCACGTTGGCATTATTTGACAGTTACTTGACAGTAGCTGTCAAATCGAATAAGGAACACGTTGCTGTTGCCGACACATTTTTTCTTTCTTTTTTTTATAATCAAATGTACAACACAACTAATTTTTTTTCAGTTTATAAAATCATAAAAAACAAAAAACTGTCACTTTTGCTATATATACTAGTACTAAAAAAAATCTGTTAAATACATATATCTACAACTGTGGACTAATTCACAACTAACTTTTATACTTAAAAAAACAATAGACCATGAAGGAGACATTACATACAAGTGTAACTTCCTGTATTACCGACACAAATCAACAGGTGGTAAATAGCTCTTTAAAACGCAAAACACCAAACTTTTTCAATTCACTCTTTAGTGATGATTCATCTAATTTTAACAGTGCTTGGGCCACAGAGAACAATTCTGCCACCCTTTCAAAAATTAAAAAAAAAAAAAAAAAAAAATTCTGGCACCTTTGGCCTTACCGGTGATCTCCATCTCGTCCTCGTAGAACAGCCCGCTTCCGTACGCCAGCCTCCTATTAACGACGGCCGAAAACCCGCAGCTGCACCTGATGCCGTCCTCGTCCACCAGCATCTGCTGCTGCTGGTGGTGGGGCGGCGAGAGCATTCCTCCGTATGGGGGCGGCTGTCCCATCCCGCACGCCCCCGGAAACGGGCTGCTCGGCTGCTGAACACCGTGCGTTTTATCACAGGACGAACTGATTAAATACACCCCCGCGTCTGCCCCCCGTATGTTCCCCACCACACGGCCACCCGCGTTGCACACGCACAACGTACAACTGTCGAAATTGTGATCGCGAAAAATATTCGACGCCGTGTCCGTCAGGAGCACGTTCAAAGCGAGCGAGTTCGCCTCGGGCGTCCTTTGCACTGAGGGCGTCGGCACCGCCTCCACCGAGTTGAGGTTCTTGTTCAGGTAGGAGCTGGCCGTCGACGTCGCCGGCGACGGCAGCTCGTACGGCGGCGGCGGCTGACGGAAGCCGCCGTGCAGCGGGCTCGGAGGGAACGAGTTCTGCAGGTTGCTCGGGAGGGAGTTGGGGAGCGGCTGGGCGCTCGTCGACGGCGTTATTTGCTGCATGGGCTTCTCGGCGTGCTGGAGCCAGGAGGGCTTGTACACGCAGTAGGTGGGCAGGGTGACGACGGGCATGCTCTGGCTGGGCAGGTTGGTCAGGGGGGCGTACTTGCTCGAACCGACCATCTTGCAGATGACGGGCGGCTTGAAAACGTAGCTCCAGTCGTCTAAAACAAACAAACAATAAATAGTAACAAAAAATAGTAATAGTGTTGACAAAGTAACAGTACCTATGTGTTCTTCCTGCGGACTGCCCATATTCGGATATATCTCCTGTTTGGTCCTGACTATGGCGAGATCTGTATAATCTGGCAGTGGTAGGTCTAATTGGCCGCATGGTGAAGCTATAGGGTTGTGTTCTAAACTGGGAGGGGTCGGAAACATCTTGCTCAGTTCTTCCGGTCGGAGGATACCCATGGTGGGACAGCCGCCGTGTCCAGATAACCGTTTGTTGTCTTCGTGATGGTTCAGGGTTGTTGATCCAGGTGGGGTTTGTACTTGCATCTAAAGAAAATTTAGTTATAAGTAAGAAATTTCAAGCGAAATTTATCTATTAACTAAGACGAGCGACGTGGATATGCGCTCAAACAACTGTCATATATGTACGAATTTCCTCGATACCTCCTTATTATTTCAGACATGTAAATGGGGAAAATCAAAGATTTCAGTAACAGGAAGATTGGTAAAATAGTTCCCGGTTATAAAGGGTGAGTTAGTTTTTTTTTCTACGATTTTACTTTATAAATAGAATGCCATATATTCGTGCACAGAGAATCCCAGTAGTGGGACCGACACGTACAAACTCATCAGAAACATTAGTTTTACAGTCATTCATAAAATTTCCTTTAGCAAGTAGTTTATTAATGAATGTTATAAGTTGTGTAGATACAAAAAAGAAACATAAAAAAACTTCTGCCAATCAAAATACAAATGTATTTATGAAAAGTATAATCAAGTTATTTTGCCTTGTTTTCTTGATATACTTAGCCATTAAAATGGTACATTTTTGCAAAGAAATATAGATTTTGCAATTATGGGGCGGAGCCTAATGGCGAAATCGATATTTCCTTATTCAAATTTTCCGTTTTAAACATATTTTAAGTTTCATGTTGTGAAAAAAAATCTACACATATTAAAACAAAACGGCAAAATATAAGCCCCTCCCACCCACCCGATCTCAATTGTGATGATTTTTCTTATTCGCCGTGAACCAAGAGGGCGGAGCTTAACTGCAAAATATGTATTTCATTACAAAAAATTGAAAGCATGTTTTTGATGACGAGTTGTGAAAAAAAAGTCTACACATATTAAAACAAAAAGGCAAAATTTAAGGCCCGCCCACCCACCCGATCTCAATTGTAATGATTTTTTTTATTCTTAGAAATCTAAAACACATATACTATTAATACTATTTAGATCAGGGCAGGTGTGGGTGGAGCTTAATCTTCGGCTTTAATTTCTTCTTAATATACATAGTATGCTTTGAATAACACGATCCTCAAAAGTATGTCTTACATTGTAATTACTTGTATAGAAACAATAAAGATTTTGCAATTAAATTCCGCTCCTTTGGCTCTCGACAATTAAAAAAAAAATCCTCACAATTGAGACCGGGCGGGTGGGCGGGGCTTATATTTTGCCGATTTTCTTAATACACGTAGTCGTATTTTCAGAACAAGAAACTTAAAACATGTTTAAAATATTAAATTCTTGTAGACAAATATGGATCTTGTAATAAAGCCCCGCCCCGCGATCTGATAACGAATGAAAAATTCATCACAATTGAGAATTGATATGGGGGCGAATATGGGTGGAGCCTAATCTTTGGCTTTATTTTTTCCTTAATATACATAGTATTCTTTGAACAACACGATACTCAAAAACATGTTTTTAATTTCTCGTAGAGAAATAAGGATTTTGCAGTTGAGCTCCGCCTTCTTGGCTCACGACGAATAAAAAAAATCATCACAATTGAGATAGGGCGGGTGGGCGGGGCAACATTTTGCTTTTCTTTTTCTTAATATGTGTAGACTTATTTCGGCAACAAGAAACTTAAAACATGTCTAAAATGGTAAATTCTTGTAGTAATCAACTTAAATTCTCCACTTTTCTTCTACAACCCCTTTAAATACGGCAATTGCAACGGAAACTTCAATGATTAGTCAATTATATATTTTTATACAACTTTATGTCTTATTAAACGAGTTCAATACATTAATTTTCGACTTTGTTCACGATTTTATAAAAAATTGGAAAGTCTGGTCATGGTTATTTGGGAATTTTTGCACATGATTGCGTGGGTGGCAGCGCTGTCAATAGACATTTGACATTTGTGTGAAATTAAAATTCATACCAAAGTTTTTATTTTAAAATGTTTAGTATTTCCACTTCCAGCCTGGTGTTCAGCACGAGATTTACAAATGCACTAAAACACTCGAGATAATTCGCAAGTCCGAGATGTTGGAAGGCACCAATTTTCACAAAATGTCTTCACCGTCAATGTTAATCATAACAACCATAAATTCGGGACAAACAACAATTAATGGGCACATTTCGTTTCAGTCGATGCACTAAAACTGAAATTAAAGTGTTTTTTCCGTTTAAAATAACTCGAAAATGGACGAGGTTATGTATTCGACGAATGACGTACGAGCGCCATGGCACACTACGTACAACGATAGATTGACAATTTCTAGTTAATAAAACCTTATCGCAAGAAAACACCCAAAGTAACTGCACCAAAATTCTATTTTTTGTTGGTTTTAGGTTGGTAACATTGTCAGACCTAAATTTGAAGTTTGATTTATAGTAACAACATAAAAATAAATTTTGTAGTTAATTAGTTTTACTGTCATTGTTACTATTCAAAGGCACTCTCTAACGTTTGTTCTTGACGTAAAGTATTTGTATTTTCTGCAGAGGAAGAGGCCAAACTTCTAATAAACTTCTGGAAAATGTAACTCCAGAAACTTTAACTTTTAACGCTCCGTTTAATTACGACTACGATATTACTAGAGCGTTTGCCGGAAGAAAAGCGCCGACGTCGCCGAATGTAATTTTTAAACCCATTTTCTCGCTTTCTCGTGTGATAGTAATGAGACGAATATTATTTTTGCAAGATTGAATCAGCCATTGCGAAGAAAATGCAATTAAAAATTACGAAAACAACGTAGCTTAAATCAACAGTTTCTATATAAAGCAACAATTTGCCTACAACTACAAGAAAATGTCCAATTAAGTGACAATGCTCTAAAACACATTATATGGATTCATTTAAAAAATCAAACGACTTTCTCAACCTGTATAGTATAGATTGCATAAAACTACATATTTAAAACTATACATTAACACAACTGGGTCAAAATGTTAGTGTGAATTTGACCCAATCGTATCTAATTCTAACACCACCCCTCGACTTACCGCCTCGTCGCTACTCGTGTCGTCCGAATTATCAAAAATTTGATCCAGGTCTTTGTAGGACGGCTGGAGGCCCTCGCTCGTGAACAGGTTCCCCGTGCTGACCTTCTTCGAGTCCTTCGGCTCCTCCTTGACCACCGCCTGCCCCCTCTTGAAGCCGTCTATCGCCGAGCCGGCGCCCTCCTCGTCGAACTCGTAGGGATCCCCGGGCCTCTTGATCCCGTGCGGCGGCATCTGGCCCAGCGGCGCCGCCGCCTCCTCCCCCATCTCCTGCTTAATCTCTTGCTTAATAAACTGATTTTTGGTATTGATATTGTTCGTTAGATCGTTGTTGTTCAACGAGACCCCGTTCTGGTTGTACATCGTGTAGATGTCCGCCTTGCCTATCCTGTTCCTTTTTTCTTTTCCGTCCGGCTTGAACCTGCGGGAGAAACGGGATTAGTGTGGGGTTGTCGGGAGTGTGATCTACTAGTCGATGGGAAAAAAATCTTGCAAATGCGTCGATGGTTAAGATATTCTATTAGTGAATGAAGGCCTTGAAGTACTTTCAATGGCTGACAGGATTATCACCTGGGAGCTTAATTCCAATAAATGCTTAGTAATTTGTTTGTGTTACAAGTATGGAGGAATAAATTAAAACAAATTAATTCTAATGTGAAAAGTAATGGATTTTATTAGAAGTGGTAAATGATGTGGAAAGTCTTGAGATTGGTTAATGTCTTACTATACTTGCAACTTTAAGCTAATAGCGTACTGTAATAGAAGATAATTGAAAAAATGTTTAATTGAAACTTCTTCAGAAATTCAAGGTTTTAATCAATCTGGCAACACCATTAAAAAAATCGGTCGAAGGTTATTTCGACAGAATTTTCCTTACTTTTAAATTTTTCAATATTTAGATTTTGCAATTTGAGTTTCTTGATTCTTCAATTTTTACAAACAAAATAATAGGTTTTCAATTACCGGATTTTAAAACTTTTTCATTTAATCGATTTTTCAATTTTTGGATTAATAATTTTTTTTTCGATTTTTACGGTTCTCGATTTGCAATTTTTCGATTTTACGCATTTTCGATTTTGAAATTTTCCGTTTTTTCTTTAATTTTGAACTTTTCGAAAATGGAAAACTGTAAAATTCTGAAATTGAAATTGAAATATCAAAAACTGAAAAATCTAAAAATTCTAAATCAAGAACTTGAAAAATTGAATAAACGAAAAATTCAAAAATCTAAAGATTAAAAACTGAGAAACTTTGAAATCGAAAAAATTAAATATGTATTTTAAAAGCTAAATATTGGAAATTAAAGAAATCGGAAAATCGAAAAATTACCAAATCGAAAAATTTAAAAGTGGGAAAATCGAAGAATTGAAAATTTGAAAAATTGAATACACGGAAAATTGAAAAAATTTTTCAGTCGAAGAACTGCAAAAGTGAAAAAATTGAGAAATTGATGAAAACGAAAAATTGTGATTTAAAAAAATTAGTCGAAAGTAAATAAAACCAGATTTTTCGAAAAATTATCAATTTTTCAATTACTAGATTATATAATTTTTTGTTTTTTCAATTTTAATTTTTTCAGTTTCTCGCTTCTTCAATTTCTAGATTTGTGAATTTTCAATTTTTAATTTTTTTGTTTCTTCGATTTTTGATTTTGCAGTTTTTGGACTTAAAATTTCTAGAATTTTCGATTGTTAATTTTTTAATGTTCCGATTTTATAATTTTTTTTTTCAATTTATCGATTGAAATTTTTCAATTATATTATTTTTTTCATTCCTTCAATTTTACGACATGCAACTCTTCGAGTTTTCATTTTTAAATTCTTCGGTTATTCGATTTTCCAACTTTCGGTTTTTTCAATTTTTCATGTCTTCAGTTTTTCAATTTGCAATTTTTCTTTTCGGTTTTTTCTCTTCTTCATTTTTTCAATTTATGAATTTAAGTTTAAATTTTTCGGTTTTTCATTTTTCCAACTTTTGGATTTTTCAATTTTTAGTTTTGCAATTTGAGTTTCTTGATTCTTCAATTTTTACAAAAAAAAAAAAAATATTAGGTTTTCAATTACTGGATTTTAAAAATTTTTCATTTATTCGATTTTTCAATTTTTGGATTAATAATTTTTTTTTATTTTTAGGGTTCTAGATTTGCAATTTTTCGATTTTTCGCATTTTCGATTTTGAAATTTTCCGTTTTTTTTTTTTAATTTTGGATCTTTCGAATCAAAAAAATGCAAAACTGCAAAACTGTGAAATTGAAATATGAAAAACTGAAAAATCTAAAAATTCGAAACCAAGAACTTGGAAAATTGAAAAACGAAAAATTCAAAAATCCAAAGATTAAAAATTGGGACACTTTAAAAGCGAAAACGTTAACTATGTATTTTAAAATTTAAATATTGGAAATTAAAGAAATCGGAAAATCGAAAAATTTAAAAGTTGGAAAATGGAAGAATTGACAATTAAAGATAAAAAAATTGAATACACAAAAAATTGAAACATTTTTCAACCGAAGAACTGAAAAAATGAAAAAATTGAGAAATGAAAGAAAACGAGAAAACAAAAAATTGTAATATAAAAAAATTGGTCGAAGGTAAATAAAACCAGATTTTTCGAAAAACTGTCAATGTTTCAATTATTATATTTTATAATTTTTGTTTTTTCAATTTTAATTTTTTAGTTTCTCGCATCTTCAATTTCGAGATTTGCAAATTTTCAATTTCTCATTTTTTGTTTCTTCAATTTTTGATTGTGCGGTTTTTCGAATTAAAATATCTTGAGTTTTCGATTGGTAATTTTTCAATTTTTAATTTTTTTCTTTCTTCAATTTTACATGTTTTCATTTTTAAATTCTTCGGTTATTGGATTTTCCAACTTTCGGATTTTTCAGCTTTTCATGTCTTCAGTTTACAATTTTTCTTATTGGTTTTTTATTTTCTTGATTTTTTCAATTTTTCGATTTATCTGATTTTATAATTTTTCTTTTTTCAAGTTTCGAATTTTATTTTGCAATCTTTCTAATTTTCATTTTTCAGATTATATATTTTTTTATTTTTTCAATTTCAATCTTTTCCATTTTCCGATTTGCAATTTTTCCGTTTTCCATTTTTTTTTTCATTTTTTCATTTTCCATTTTCAACTTTTCGTTTCGGTTTTTCAATGTTCTGATTTTAACAACTTTTCTTTTCTTAAATGTCAAAATTTCCAATTTTTCGATTTTTTTTTGTTTATTCAATTTACGATATGCAACTATTTGATTTTTTTTTAATTTTTAAGCTTTTCGATTTTCCAACTTTTAAATGTAATTTTTCTATTTCGAATGAAGGTAAATAAATCCAGATTTTTCGAAAGATCATAAATAAGATTTTGCGACCTTTATTTTTTATGATAACCCTTATAATTCTAAAAAAGTATAAGTTAACGAATAAATTTTGATTAACGAATTACCACGATTACGATAACTTAATTTTTTTTTTTCAAAAATCTGGATGTCTAGGGTGAAAACTCAACTCAGACTCATAGATCACTAGTACTCTTAAATTCAGTAATGAAAAATATCAATAAATTTCTTGTCGCTCACCTCTTCACCGGATGATTGAGCCACGCCTCCAACGTCGAATAATCATACAGCATCTCCAGCGTCTGCTCCTCCTCCCCCAGACTGCTCTCGTACTCCCTCACGCTCAACACCGGCCTCTTCAGCACCGGCACGCTCGCCACGTTCGTCTGCTGCTCGTTCTTCGCGTCGACCGGTCCGCTGTTGGGGCTGTTGGCGGCGCTCTCGACGCTCTTCGGCGGCTGGTCGGGCGTGTGCGTCTTCTCGGGCGACGGAAGCATCGTGGGCGGATGGGGCGAGAGCAGGGGCATCGTCTGGTCGCCGGGCGGCACGGACGCCGGCTGCGAGTGGGGGTTCGGGAGCGGCGACGGCGCCACCGACGGCGGGCTGCCCACCGACGGTATCGCCACCGATTCCTGGGTGCGGGGGTACGAAGGCGGGCCGCCTTGCGGGGTGTAGGAGCCGGAGCATCTGGAAAAGCGAAAGGCGCGAGTGAGTGCCGGGGGCGGCGAACGGCCGATTATCCGGATGAATGATGCATGCCGGTGAGGATTAATGTTCCTAAGCTAAAAATTATTATTCCACTACCCTGCGGGAGCAGCCTATGAATGTGATGTAGATTATTGTTATTGTACTGTTTCGGGTTGAATTAGTAATTATGATGAGGTTAATGTCGGGTGCGTTTTCGTTTGCTGGAGAACGGCGGCCGGGGGCGGCAGGTTTTCTATAAGAGAGGGTTGCGTTTTTTGGGGGTGGGTTTTGCGATACATCGTGAAATATATAGAAACAATATATAGACAAATATAAAGACAAAGAACAGAACTAACAACGAACAAAAACACAACATCGACTGGAGAAACGGCGAAATAATTTTTTTTCGTTTAATTTTACATGGAATTCTATTATTTCACATTTTAACTTATTATAATAATTTTATTTAATTAATAAACAAAATGGCAAATTTCTTAAGGGTTCTATTCCTAATTTAAAGAATGTATGTTCAAATCACGTTAAATCAGGTCCGGTCAAGTCAAGTCAGGTCGCGTCAAGTCAGGTTGAGTCAAGTCAGGTTGAATCAAGTCAGGTTTAATCAAGTTAAGTCAGGTCAAAAAACAGACCAAGTCAGTTTAAATCAGGTTGAGTCAAATCAAATCATGTTAAATCAGGTCGGGTCAAACCAATTCAGATCAACTCAGAGCAAGTTAAATCAGAACAAGTTGGTTAAGTCAAGTTTGGTTAAGTCAGGTCAAGTCAGGTGAGGGCCAAACAGGTTGAGTCAGGCCAAGTCAGGTCAAAGCAAGTTAAATCAGATCAAGTCAGGTTAAGTCGAGTCAAGTCGGGTCATACGAAGTCTTCTTTTCTCAACAAAAAACTGAAAACATGTTTAACTATCTTGTTGAAAGCAAACTCTCTATATTTAAAAAAAAAACAAAAACAAAAACAAAAATTAAAACACACCCACCCGCCCCAATCTCAATTGTGATGAATTTCATATGGTAATTTCTTTTAGAGAAATGAAGATTTTGCAACAAAACTCCGCTCTTCAGCTCACGATGAATAAAACATTCGTCACAATCGAGAAGGGGTGGGTGGGCGGGGCTTATATTTTGTCCATTTTTTCTTAACATAGGAAGTCTTGTTTTCTTAACAAGAAACGGAAAACACGTTTAATTATTTTGTTGTTGAAAGAAAACTATACATTAAAAAAAAACAAACAAAAATTAAGCCCCACCCACCCGCCCTACTCTCAATTGTGATGAATTTCATATGGTAATTTCTTTTAGAGAAATGAAGATTTTGCAACTAAACTCCGCCCTTCTGCTCACGATGAATAAAACATTCGTCACAATCGAGAAGGGGTGGGTGGGCGGGGCTTATATTTTGTCCATTTTTTCTTAACATAGGAAGTTTTCTTTTCTTAACAAGAAACGGAAAACATGTTTAACTATTTTGTTGTTGAAGGAAAACTATATATTAAAAAAAACAAACAAACAAAAATTAAGCCCCACCCACCCGCCCCAATCTACATTGTGATGAATTGGATATGGTAATTTCTTTTAGAGAAATGAAGATTTTGCAACTAAACTTCGCCTTTCAGCTCACGACGAATACAACATTCGTCACAATCGAGAAGGGGTGGGTGGGCGGGGCTTATATTTTGTCCATTTTTTCTTAACATAGGAAGTCTTCTTTTCTTAACAAGAAGCGGAAAAGATGTTTAACTATTTTGTTGTTGAAAGAAAACTATATATTAAAAAAAAACAAACAAAAATTAAGCCCCACCCACCCGCCCCGATCTACATTGTGATGAATTTCATATGGTAATTTCTTTTGGAGACATGAAGATTTTGTAACTAAACTCCGCCCTTCAGCTCACGATGAATAAGGCCTTCACCACAATTGAGAAGGGGTGGGTGGGCGGGGCTTATATTGGTCTATTTTTTCTTAACATAGGAAGTCGTCTTTTCTTAACAAGAAACGGAAAACATGTTTAACTATTTTGTCGTTGAAAGAAAACTACATATTAAAAAAAAACAAACAAAAATTAGCCCCACCCACCCGCCCCAATCTACATTGTGATGAATTTCATATGGTAATTTCTTTTAGAGAAATGAAGATTTTGCAACTAAACTCCGCCTTTCAGCTCACGATGAATAAAACATTCATCACAATCGAGAAGGGGCGGGTGGGCGGGGCTTATATTGGTCCATTTTTTCTTAACATAGGAAGTCTTCCTTTCCCAACAGGAAACTGACAATATGTTTAACTATCCTGTTGTTGCAAAAAATTCTATATATTAAAACGAAACAAAACAAAACTTAAGATTTCAAAATTTCAGACGTTGCGAATTAAGAAATCCAAAAATTTCAGAAATTATCGTTCAATTTTGACAAAATTACAATTCTAGAAAACATAGGATCGTTCAATAATTTAAAAGTTAGAACGGGTTGAGTCAGGTCAAGTCAAGTCAGGTGAAGTCCGAGCAGATAGAGTCAAGTCAAGTCAGGTCACGTCAAGCCAGTCAAGTCAGGTCAGGTCAAGTCAGATAGGGTTAATTTAAGTCTGGTCAGGTTAAATCAGAGCAGGTCAAGACAAGTCAAGTCAGGTTACATCAAATCAGGTCCGGTCAGATCAGAACAAGTCAGTCAAATCATGTCAGGTTAGGTCAACTCAGTCAAGTCAGGTCAGGTCAAGCTAAGTCAGGTCAAGTTAGGTCAAATCAAGACAAGTCAAGTTAGATTCCTAGTCCATGAAGTACAACCAATACCGCAGAGCATTTTTTAATAATAATTTGGTTTTAAAGTTTTTACTTTCCGAGCAAAGCTCAGGAAATATTGTAAGAGTCCATCCGATTAACGACTACTTCCATGTTTTCTGGACGTGTCAAGCCGTATGATACTAAACAATAGGACCCCCGTTTCCGTCTGTTTGTCGTCTGTCTGTCTGTGTCGGTTTTTATTAAGCAAATAACCTCTGAAACTACTGGACGGATTGTTGTAAAATTTTATGTGTATTTTAGGAATCATCTCTTCAAAATTTTCTACACTGAACTTATTTAACATAAAGATTAAAAGCAGGGATTTTTGACTTTTTATTTTTAAGTAACTTTTTTCTTATTACTTTTTTAAATTTTATTTTGTTTTGTTTTTTAGTTTTTAGTATTTAGTAAATTGATCATTAAGTTAAACACTATTGTATTACTGTATCTATATCCACTATGGACAGAATTGGCCGATGGAAATAAAGTTTATTATTATTATTATAAAGATTCTAACCAAGTTGGCTTTAAAATTTTTACTTTCTGAGCGTAAGTAATCTCAGGATCAATAAATACTTTCACGTTTCCTGGACGTTTCATGAAACGATTTTTATTAAATACATAATCTCCGAAACTACTGGACCGATTGTTATAAAATTTTAAAAATTCTTGTACTTGTGGTTTATGAATCCGCGTTGAGGTTTTCCTTGACGTATCCAAACTTTCGCAAAAAAATCGAAATTTGTTTCTACTATCTTATGTATTTTCAATGCATAGAAGTTACCACAAGCAAAATTTTATAATTTTTCAAATTTCAAACGGGAACTGTACTTTAAGACAATTTCTCAATTTTGCCGCATCCTTGTGATCTTTGATGACTATTAGTTTGTCACCTGTCACTGACATTTATGTCAACCATAACCTAATTTTCTTAAGGTCTTTGAAATATATTAAGTTGGACTACACTGCACAAGTGACGTAAAATTTGCAATTGTAGATGACGTCATCAATCTTTTAGCGAGGATGAACAATCAATTTTAGAGGTCAAGAACAGATACAACCAGACGGAAACGATAAACTTTATTTTGGTATTCAGAGTTGTGAAATAACCAGAAAAGAATACATAAATAAATTTGTGTAATTGTGGAACGGTTTAATTAAAAGTAGTTTTGAAAATAATAAAAAAAAAATAAAAAAATATATACAGGGTGACCAAAAATGGTGCACCAACTCTACGGCACGTTGTTAAAAACTATTTATTGGGGAAAGAAAAAATGGTCTGAAAAAATCTTGGGCCCAAATGTAGAATATATAGACTTCCAAAGTTTAATATATATATATTATTAAATTGTGTAGCGAGCTTCGCTCGACAATTTCTCGACACTTGTACCAGTTCGAGATTAGAAAACCTCCCCGCCTGCCCGCGGCCTGCCCCGCTCCAAGCGGCGTTACGTAACGGCACAAAACGAACGAAAACGAAACACTGAATAAGTAACAAAACAATAAGTAAAAAAAAAAAAAATGACACCGGCAGTGTAAGCCCGTCACCCATGAAGCGAGTGACCAACCTGTCGGACTCTGCAGGTACGGGGGAGCGCCTGTGGAAAGGTACACGTCCCCGTACTGCCTTCGAAGGCCGGGGCGAGTTGCTTGTCTTCGTGTTGCTACCGGTGCTCCACTTATTGCTCGTCATGCTGCCCACGTACTTTCTACACCTGCAATGTCGCATCGTGCACTAACAACAACTCTTAACATACACTAATTACAGACTACAAACTACCACAAGACAACGTTCATTACCCGCCTCCTTGCTCCGTTCGCGCCAATCGAATCTCGCCTCGCATTATCCTTCAGGACTCAACGCACTACCAACTACGGCCATCGCATGCAAGACTCTGGTACATACACGAACTGGGATTATGACCAAAATTGCCCACCGAGGATGCTAGAGGCGAAATTAAATTCTGCATTTTAGATGATTGTTTGACCGCGCCGGCGGCGCCGGGGAAATTGTAAACAAATTGCAGCCGCGTTAATTAATTAAATTTTCCGAAAGGGTGCGTTCACGAACCGATTTCGCTACAAAAACCGATCTCAGGTCGTACGCCACTATAAACCGACTGCGGTCTCAGACTCGCCCCAGAACTGAATTTCGCCTCGTCGACAGCGACACCAAACTCAGCATGCACGTACAAATCCGCCCAACGTGATCTTTCGCATCGTCACGTGACTCACTTAGAACAGGTACAATTGGCGCGTTTGATTGGATCCACGAAATCCCATTGTCCGGTGAATTCGTGAGGTGTGTTGGAAGTTGGCTGGTTGCATCCAGGTGGTCCGCCGTGGATGCACTCCTGCCAGACTCTCTCGGGCAGTACGGTAGCGGCAGTTTCGTCTTTTGACATGGATAAAGTATGCTCGACGGATACCGAATACGGTCCTGGCTGAGGTACCCTGCTGTTGATTTGGATCGGCGAAGGCGGCGGGGTCTGGATGAGAACGGGCGAACCTGAAATAACAACGTCGTCAGTCACGAGAAATACACCGGGCGTGGTTTTCGCCGCACTTTTTTTTTTTTTTTTTTTTGATGAAAATGATGCGAAATTCGATCGTCCACGGTGTCAAACACAAACCGGGGAATTTCGAAACCGGGACTGTCGTTACGACTCAACTATTTGGGGATTTAATTACACTGTCACGCTAGATGCATGCGTAAATGGCGTTTAATTAAGTCTTTAAAGAGGATTTCAATTGCATTTGTTTTGGAAGGGGTGCGAAATGGGCGTTTAAACGCTTGTTAAACGGCCGAGGAGAGAATTAAAGCGTTTTAGGCTTACAAATATTCAGGATTAACCCAATTTAATCCGATTAATTAACAATTTTTGATAAATTTTACCGAAATAATATCTATTATTCCGGATTTAGTACTTAACTCGTAATCCAATCCCCGATCACCGATTGGCTACTAAGTTATTAAACTTATCACAGCGGAAAATATTTTTAAATTTTATTAATTCAAACTAATCATGCATAATTGGCCTGCAATGATGCAACACGTGCAATAGTTACGATTTCCGTAAAGCTGGATTTACATACACTCTGGTCAATATTTCGAAAAAAAATGAATATAGACTTTAATACCGTGCGTATAAATTCCGCTTAAGAAATATTCAATATAACCTTAAGAGCAGACCTTGCAATCAATTAATTGTATCTGTAATAAATTAACAAATTAAACGATAATTGAATTGTCTGCCTAGCAATAAAATAAACACGAGTCCAATATATAATTATACGCCAATAAATACGAACAAACGAACATAACTCCATAATTATGATTGAACCAGCAGAAGCATATTCGTGTAATGACCCTTGTTTAGTGCCTCGTTAACCGGTAGATTTTGAGGAATTTAAGATTTTTTGAGTCGAGTTTGATTAATGTCGCTTGTCAATAGAGTAATATTTTATCGAGTTGGAGGAGCTATAAAAATGTAACTCTTGAATCCGATTTATGTTTTTCAGACCGTTGTAATTTATGTTAATTTGTGCAATTTGTAGTAACTGCTATATATTATATTTTGAGTAACCGGTTTCCCATCAAACGACTGTCGTTTTTACAGAATCGAGAAGTCAGTGTGTAGTCTGGTTCGGATTTAAATGTTTGTTTCGCTTTGGGTCTTTCTAAATTGACGAATTAAGCGGATGTTGTTAAGATATGAAAGTAATTTTTGAATATTCAGGTTTTCAATTAAGATAGTGCTCCGCCGTGGAAATCAAAACGAAATTTTTCAGTGTATCGACTATTAATATGACAATGAAATGCTAGAATTTGTTTAAACTGTGAAAGTATTGGAAAAAAAAACACTCGGAAATATAAAATACAGGATATCCAGTGTGAAATCACCCTGTATAATTTTTTTAACCTTGTTGGATTTTGTATTTTTTTTTAAACCTTGTTCGTCGTTGAAGTGCAGCCCAATAAATCCCGCAAAACCAGTGGCGTAAATGTGAACAGCGGACGATATGAAATACATACATGTATTTAAAGCAGAAAATCAACTAAAAATTCGAAAAAATGAAAAATCAAAAAGCTGAAAAACAAAAATTGAACAATTTGAAAATATAAAGTTAAAAAATCGAAAAACCGAGAAATCGAGAAATCTAAAATCCAAAATTTAAAAAAAAAAAATCGAAAAATTAAAAAATCGAAACCTAGAAAAAAATTGGAAAATCGAAAAATCGTGAAAGAAGTAAAAAAATCGAATTGGGCAAAATCGAAAAGTTAAAAATTGAAATTGAAAAATTTTAAATTAAACAAATGGTAAATCGAAAAATTCAAAAATCGAAAGATCAGACATTTGTAAAATTGAAAAATCCAAAAATCAAAAACCGAGACGTTGAAAAATCCAAAGATCGAGAAATCACATCGAAGAACTGAAAAATCTAAAATTTAAAAATTCCAAAAATTCAAAATAGAAATATCGAACTGAAAAGTGTAAATATTGAGAAACCGAAAAAACTAGGAGCAATATATTAAAAATTGAAAAATTCAAATACTGAAAAAGTGAAAAATTTGAAAGTCGAAAATTCGAAAAACATAAAAAAGAAACAAAAAGTGAAGGATCGAAAAATTGAAAAATCACAAAACTGAAAAATATATATTGATAAATCAAAAAATTGAGAAATCGAAAAATCGGGAATTTAGAAACGTCAGAATTTGAAAAATTGAAAAATCGAAAAATTGAAAAATCGAAAAGCCCAAAACTCGAAAAGTCGAAATTTGAAAAATTTAAATAGAGCAAAATCGAAAAGTCGAAATATTTTAAAAATTGAAAAAATGAAAAAACAAAAAGCTGAAAAACAAAAATTGAACAATTTGACAATATACAGTTGAAAAATCGAGAAATTGAGAAATCTGAAATCCAAAATTAAAAAAAAGTAGAAAAATTAAAAAATCGAAAGTCGTGATAGAAAAAAATCGAAATTGTGCAAAATCCAAAAATTGAAAAATCACCAACAATGAAAAATCAGAAAATTTAAAAACCAAAAAATCGAAAAATCAGAAATTTTAAAAATTGAAAAATATAAAAATCATCAACGAAGCCGTTGAAAAATTCAACAAAAACTAACTTAAAAATTCCAAAAATTCAAAAATAGAAATATCGAACTGAACAGTGGAAAAATTGGAAAAAGTCGAAAATTTTAAAAACTTAAAAAAGGAACAAAAAGTGAAGAATCGAAAAATTGGAAAATCACAAAATTGGAATATCGCGACAAATTGAAGAATTGAAAAATCGAAACATTGAAAAGTTCAAAAATCCAGAAATGTAAAATCAAAAAATCGATAAATCGAAAAAAAGAAAAATCGAGAATTTAGAAACGTCAAAAACTGGAAGATCGAAAAACCTAAAATCCAAAATTTAAAAAATCGAAACCTGGAAAAATTGGAAAATCAAAAAGCCCAAAACTTGAAAAATCGAATATTGAGAAATCGAAAAGTTAAAAATTGAAACTGAAAAATTTTAAATTACAAAAAATCGGTAAATCGAAAAATCGAAAAATTGAAAAACCGAAAATTTGAAAAATCGGACAATCAGGCATTTTAAAAATTAAAAAACTAAAAACCGAAAAACCAAAAACCGAGGCGTTAAAAAATCGATAGATTGAGAAATCGAAACATCAAAAAGATGAAAAATTTAAAATTTAAAAATTCGAAAAATTCAAAAATAGAATTATCGAAGAACAGGAAAGTGGAAACACAAATTGAGAATTGGAAAAACCTGAAATTCTAAGTTTTAAATTTAAAATATTAAAAAAGTAAAAAAACGAGAAATCGAAAAATTGGAAGTTGAAAAATCGAAAAATTGAAAAATTAGACAAAAAATGAAGAATCGAAAAATTGAAAAACCCCAAAACTGAAACATTGAAAAATTGTTAAATCAAAAAATTGAGAAACCGAAAAGTTAAAAAATTGATCAATCGAGAAATTGAAAATTTAGAAACGCCAAAAATTAAAAAATTGAGTAATGGAAAAACGAAAAATCGGGAGATCGAAAATTTGAAGAATCGAGAAATTCAAAAATCAAAAAACTGAAGAATAAAAAACTGGAAAATCCCAAATTTGAAACAAAAATCGAAAAATTAAAAATCGAGAAATGGAAAAGTCGAAAAATTGAAAATTTTCAATTTCGAACAACTGAAACATCAAAAACCCGAAAAATCGAAAAATTAAAGAATCGAAAAGTCGAAACATCGAGAAGTTCAGAAATCGTGAAATGGAAAAACCAAAAAATTGATTAATTAAGAAATTTGAAACTTGGAATTTCGAGAAATCGAGAGAGAAGTCAAAAAATCTAAATTTGAAAAATCGAAATAGGTCAAAATCGAAAAGTTAAAAATTGAAACTGAAAAATTTTAAATGAAAAAAATCAGTAAATCGAAAAATCAAAAACAGACATTGAAAAATCGAAAAATCGAAATATCAAAAAACTAAAAATCAAAAATTTAAAAATTCTATAAATTCAAAAAACTGAAAAGTGGAAAGAAAAATTGAGAAATCGAAAAATCTAAGACTGAAAAAATTTAAAAATTAAAATATTGAAAAAGTAAACAAACGATAAATCGAAAAATTGAAAAATCTCAAAACTGAAACATGGAAAAATTGATATATCAAAAAATTGAGAAATCGAAAAGTTAAAAAATCGAGAATCGAAAAGTCGAAAATTGAAACTTTAAAAATCGAACAACTGAAACATCAAACACCCGAAAAATCGAAAAATTGAAGAATTGAGAAATCGAGAGAGAAGTCAAAAAAATGTAAATTTGAGAAATCTAAATAGGTTAAAATAGAAAAGTTTTAAATTGAAGCTGAAAAACTTTAAATTAAAAAAAATCCATAAATCGAAAAATTGAAAAATCGTAAAACTGAAAAATCGAAAAATTCAAAAATAGACATCGAAGAACTGAAACGTGGAAAGAAAAATTGAAAAATCAAAAAATCTAAAATTGTACAATTTAAAAATCACAAAATTGAAAAAGCAAGTGAACGAAAAATCGAAAAACTGAAAAATGGTACAAAATGTGAGGAATCGAAAAATTGAAAAATCTCAAAACTGAAACATCGAAAAATTGATAAATCAAAAAATTGAAAAATCCCAAAACTGAAAAATTAAAAAATCGAGAAATCGAAAAATTGAAAATTTAAAAAATCGAAAAATCAACAACCTGAAATATCAAAAAATTGAAGCATAGAAAAGTCGGGAAATCGAGAAATGGGAAAACCAAAAAATCGATTGATTGCGAAATCGAAAAATAAAGAATTGAGGAATAGAAAATTTGAAAAATCGAAAAATTAAATAATCGAAAAATAGAAAAATCCCTACATTAAATATCGAAAAATTGAGGAAACGAAAAGCCGAAAATGCAAAAAATCTCCATGTCTAGGATAAAAATTCAACACGGATTCATAAACCACAAATGGAAGAGTACGTTATTTTATAAAAATAAAATAAAATTTACTAGTGTGAAATTTGAAGATTAATTAAACACATAAAACGAACAAAACAAAGTCAATTACGTGCTAAATTCATTAAAATTTTAGAAATTAAAAAACGTGTCACAATAATCATAACAATTACTATGTACTATTGACATTCAAACTGTGGAAAAGTTTTCCAAATTCAAACGACTTCCCAAATAACTCTTTTAATCGAAGTAACCGGAAAAATCAATAATGTAAAATTCCTCGGATTCCTTAAATTTAAACCTTTAAATCCACTTCCTTAAACAAAAAATCCACGACTTAAGCGATCTCTACTTAAAGACGCTTCTTACTTAAATTAACACACACGTTACAACCTGGAAAAAATGTTTGTGTCATTTACAGCCTTCCGTAAGCGCAAATTGCATAACGCTTATATCACATTACTTAACTTAAGTAAACTAATATTTACCAGCCCGCATACCAAATTGCTTTCCAGAACCATACAACATTGCAAGCGCACGACAGACACGTCACGAACATCATAAACGCCATCAACACATGCACAATAAACGCCAAATCAAATTAAAACTCTCGTCCAGTCGCGACATTAATACCTCCAATAAATAAAAACCAACACAAAAAATATATAAAAATGACTGCCAAAAGCACACCCATCAACGTCAGTGGCTTCATTGTGACAATGTCCCCCTCATAAATTATCCGTGTGTGTGTCTTTTTTTCCCGTCGAACAATGACTACAATACAAACTTACTCGTTCCGTTCTTCACCACTCCGTTTGTCGGATTCACTCCAGAATTAATAATCGACGAGTTGTCGTTGTCGTCGAGGTCGGTGACGAGGACATAACACGATGGATACTTCATTTTCACGCCACCGACGACCACTTCGACGACGCTGCTGTCGGTCAGGCTGCTGCTGTTATCCAGAGGGTAGAACTGACGCCAGTCCTCGAGGAACTTCGCCGTTAGGTCAGGGGACTTGAAAGTTTGACCGGTCAACGTGCCGGCGAGTCCGTAGGGAGCCAGAATCACTGGAAATCAAACTGTTCGTCAAACAAGCGACTTTTGGAAAATTATCGAAGTGTTAATGAGTTTACCCCGAAAGCGGCAACAAGAGCGACGGAGTGTTGTTTTAACCCCACTTTTTGCCCCAAAAGCAACAACCGCGCCGGAATAATGTGCTCTAAAACCACTATCAATTAAACTTAGTCCAATACATTAACCGAATTAGGTTACCGATGAATCGCTATGGAAACAGTGGATGTTTGTTTTGTAAACAAGTATCAAAAGCAAAACGAGAACACCTTAACCGAATTCATATTACATTGTGAAAACAGCAGCTAGCGTTTACTTTACAAGTTGTCATTACACCGTATAAATATATACTTCATTAGGCTAAACGCTACCAGTGTTTCCATGTCGGAAATTTGGCTCGGGCTCTCGTACTGAACATAAATGTTTTATGGAGACAACAGAACACTTTCGCGGCAATCACTGTTAAAATGTGGGCTCGCCGAAACGGCTTTTACAAACATCAATTAATGTAATAAAAGATGAAAGTAATTTTTCCGCTTTGATCTTTCCAGTCTCTGTACGTGTGTTACGGAAAATGACATGAAAAACGGTTCATTGTTACGTAAAAATGTCATGTGGAAAGCAAATCACCGGATGAAAAAACTCTTGATGTCGTGGGTTGGTAATTTGCTGGCGAATATGGAATGAGTGTGTATTTTGTTCTCGCAAAAAAATTATTTGAAATTTGAAAATAAAATTTCGTGGCTCCATTTTTACCTCAAAAAATAAATAAACACACTCGGTCGGTGATTTAATTCAAAAACAACGCTATAGTGCCGGATTTGAATTAGTGAAAGATGGTATACATCAGACGAAATTTTAAAACAACTACCTGTTGTATTTTAGTCAAGTTCAAGTATTAAGTACGGGTTATTATTTACCATTTCTGACGGTGATTTATAATCTTTAAGCTCTTTCCTGCGCGGTGTTGCCGGCTGTATTTTTTATTAATGATGGTTGTTAATTTATGGATAGACTGCGGAAAAATACTACATGACGAATCCTTTCACGCCGTTCTCTTCCATGTATTTTAATCGGGTTTTTGAAATAATAGCTTCCCACACTTTGTCACTTTGTATTCGTTGTATGCATATTTTTCTCCATAGGCAGCCAAGACTTATGTATATTAAAAAATTGTGATTGTTTGACGTAACAGTGAACTTTAATTTTTCCTCATTTTGAATCCATTTAACATCTTGTATTTATATCTTTTTATATCTAAATTATCAAATATATTTCCAATTTTTACGAAATCTTTGTGGTAATGTTAATGTGCTTTCTGACCAGGGTTTTGAAATATTGGAATATTAAAGATTGCATTTTTGTTTTCGAGTCTAAAAAACATATTTCATTCTCAAAAAATTGATGCAAGAATTATCGAAAATCGCAACACTTTCACAAAAATAATAAAAACTGGAACAAAATAAAGGAGGTGTAAAACATCCTGTATATTTTTGAAAACTGGTATCTCGATTAAAAGTTAGAACTACATTTTTTAGATATTTAATTTTTCGTTTTTTTTACGAGATTTTTTTGTTTTAATATTTGTTTAAATCTAACAGTTTCTCGCCCTGAATAAAAACATTAGGAGTAAGATCAAGGAACTGTGAATCATCCTGTACATTTTTGTGTAGGTTTCAAGCGTTATTACCAGTCGATTTTTAAATTCAGTTGAAAATCTATGAAAATATTGTTTAGTTTTTTAATTTTTTAACGATATGTTTTGTTTTAATATTTGTTTAAATTTTAACAGTTTATCGCCTCACATGAAAACATCAGGAACAAGGATTTATCAGTTTTTTTCTTCAATTTTCTATTTTCGATTCTTCAATTTCTCAGTTCTTCAAATTATCAATTTTTCATTTTTCCATTTTCCTGTTTTACGACTTTCAATTTTTTGATTCTTTAATTTTTCGATTTTTCAAATTTTTGACTCTTCAAATTTTGAGTTTTTCAGTTTTTACGTTTCTAAGTTTTAAATTTCTCGATTTCTCGACTTTTCCATGTTTCGATTTTTCAGTTTTTCAATTTTTCACGTTCTCGATTTCCCAATTTTTCGACGTTTCGATTTCTCGATTCGATGTTTGAGTTTTTGGATTTTTAAGTTTTTCGATTTCTGAATTTATCTTCCGTTATTCAATTTTTCAACTCGATCTTTGGACTTTTTAATTTTTCAATTTTTAAAATTAAAAATTTTTCGATTCCTCGGTTTTCAGAATTTTCAGTATTTTGATGCTTCGATTTCTAGTCATTCCAAATTTGGAATTGTTCAATTTCTCGATTCTTCAGTTTTACGATTTTTGCATTTCTTCGATACTCGGTTTTTTGATTTTTCGGCTTTCTAATTTTTCAATTTTTCGACTTTTAAATTTTAGAGTTTTTGAAATTTTCGATTTTCTGATGTCTCTATTTCTCGACTTTTCAGTTCTTCGATATTTCAATTTTTAAATTTTGGATCTTTCAGTTTTTTTCTTCAATTTTCTATTTGCTCTATTTTTCAATTTTCCGATTCTTCAATTTCTCAGTTCTTTAAATTCTCGATTTTTCATTATTCGATTCTTCACTTTTCCCATGTTTCCGTTTTACGACTTTTCAAATTTTCGACTCTTCAAATTTACAGTTTTTCAGTTTTTACGTTTCTAAATTTTCAATTTTTCGCTTTGTCAATTATCTGGATTAATCAATTTTTGTATTTTGTCATTCTCGATGTCTCGATTTTTCAGTTTTTCAATTTTTCGATATTTTACGTTCTTGATTTCTCAGTTTTTCGATTGCGCGAGTTCCCGATTTTTCGATTCGATGTTTCAGTTTTTGGATTTTCAAGTTCTTCGATCCCTCAATTTATTCTTCTTCTTCAATTTTTCGACTCGATTTTTCGAAATTTTAATTTTTCAATTTTTAAAATTTCAGATTTTTGATTTTTCGAATTTCAGATTTTTCAGTTTTTTGATGCTTGGATTTCTCGTCATTCCAGTTTTGGAATTTTTCGATTTTTCCATTTTTCGATTTCCCGATTATCGGTTTTTTGATTTTTCGACTTTCCAAATTTTCTATTTTTCAATTTTTGAATTTTGGAAATTTTCGACTTTAGTTTTTTCTTCAATTTTCTATTTTCTCGATTTTTCGTTTTTCGTTTTCTCAATTTTCCAATGTTTCCGTTTTACCACTTTTCAATTTTTCTACTTCTCAATTTCTGGATTAACCAGTTTTTTGATTTTTTCATTTCGTGATTTATCGAGTTTATGATGTTTTGATTTTTCAGTTTTTCAATTTTTCATGTCCTCGATTTCCCAATTTTTCGATTTTTCGACTTCTCGATTTCTCGATTCGATGTTTCAGTTTTTGGATGTTTAAATTTTTCGATTCCTCAATTTATTTTCCGTTTTTCAATTTTTCGATTTCTCGATTTTCAGATTTTTCAGTTTTTTGATGCTTCGATTTCTCGATCTCAATTTTTCATCATTCCAGTTTTGGAATTTTTCAAATTTTTCATTTTTCGATTCTTCAGTTTTCAGATTTTTCCATTTTTCGATTTCTCGGTTCTCGGTTTTTTGATTTTTCGGCTTTCCAACTTCTCAATGTTTTGATTTTTAAATTTTTGATTTTTGGATTTCAGAGATTTTCAATTTTTTGATGTCTCCATTTCTAGACTCTCCAGTTCTTCGATAATTCAATTTTTGAATTTTTAATTTTTCCGTTTTTCGATTTTTGAAATTTTACCTTTTTTGATTTTACAGTTTTTTTATGTTTAGATTTCCCGACATCTCGGTTCTTCGATTTTTGAAAATTTTCGACATTCCGATTTTTAGATTTATGGATTTTTCAATTTTTCGATTGTTCGACTTCTCGATTTCTCGACTCAATGTTTCAGTTTTAGGATTTTTAAGTTCTTCGATTCCTCAATTTATCTTCCGTTCTCAGTTTTTCGACTCGAATTTTCGATATTTTAATTTTTCAATTTTTCAGTTTTTTGATGTATCGATTTCTCGTCATTCCAGTTTTGGAATTTTTCAATTTTTCCATTTTTCGATTTCCCGATTCTCGGCTTTTTGATTTTTTGACTTTCCAAATTTTCAATTTTTCGATTTTTGAATTTTTAAAATTTTCGATACTTTGATGTCTCCATTTCTAGACTTTTTAATTCTTCCATATTTCAGTTTTTTCTTCAATTTTCTATTTTCTCGATTTTTCCTTTTCTCAATTTTCCCATGTTTCCGTTTTACCACTTTTCAATCTTCCCATTCTTCAAATTTTCGACTCTTCAAAATTTCAGTTTCTCAATGTTTACATTTCTAAATTTTCAATTTTTCGATTTGTCAATTTCTGGATTAATCAGTTTTTGATTTTTTCATTTCCTGATTTATCGACTTTTTGATGTTTCGATTTTTCAGTTTTTCAATTTTTCACGTCCCCGAGTTCCCAATTTTTCGATTTTTCGACTTCTCGATCTCTCGATTCGATGTTCCAGTTTTTGGATTTTTAAGTTTTTCGATTTATCTTCCGTGTTTCAATTTTTCCACTTGATTTTTCCATATTTTAATTTTTAATTTTTAAAATTTTAGATTTTTGATTTCTCAATTCTTCAGTTTTCCGATTTTTCCCTTTTTCGATTTCTTGATTCTCGTTTTTTTGATTTTTCGGCTTTCCAATTTTTCAATCTTTCGATTTAAAATTTTTTTTTTTAGATTTATGGATTTTTGAATTTTTCGATTTTTTTTGTTTCGATTGCTCGATTTTCAATTTTTAGATTTTTCAGGGTTTTGATTTTCAATTTTTTGGGTTTTTAAATTTTCCATTTTTCGACTTTTCGTTTTCTGAATGTTTTAATATTTATATGTTTCAATTTTGGGAATTTTTCTTTTTTTTCAATTTCGTCAATTTTTGACTTCTCTAAATTTTCAATTTTTCGCTTTCACAATTTCTGGATGAATCAATTTTTTGATTTTTTCAATTTTTTGATATTTCACGTTCTCGATTTTTCAACTTTTGGATTTTTAAGTTTTTTGTGAATTTATCTTCCGTTTTTAAATTTTTCGACTCGATTTTTCTACCTCTTAATTTTTCAATTTTCAAAATTTTAGATTTTTCGATTTCTCGATTTTCAAATTTTTCAGCTTTTTAGTGCTTCTATGTCCAGATCTTTTGATTTTTCTATTTCTTGGTTTTAGATTTTTCCATATTTTGATCCTCCAGTTTTCCAATTTTTCGATTTTTAAATTTTAGATTTTTAAATTTTTGATTTTTCAGTTTTTTTGATTCGATTTTTCCATTTCTGGATTCTTAAATTTTTTGAGGTCTCAATTTTTCAACATTTCAATTTTGGAAATTTTTCAATTTCTAGAATTTTGCAATTTTTCGATTTTTCGGATGTCTGATTTATGGTTATTCAATTTTTCTATTAAAAAAAAAAAAAAAAAAATCATTTCTTAATTTCTACATACTATATTTTATTTGGCTTTTTATTTTTAAGGAATTTTTTGTTTTCATCTTTACTTAAATTTTAACAGTTTATATTACTCTAAATAAAAAACATAAGGAGCAAAATGGAGGAATGGTGAAACATCCCGTACATTTTTCAAAATTGGTAACATCGAAATACATTTTTCGTAGTTCGTTTCAATGTGTTTCTTTCTAATTGTTTAGATCTTATTTTTAAAAGATTTTTTTTATCTTTCCTTAAATTTAAACAGTTTATATCATCAAATAAAGAATATTATCAATAAAATGACGGAATTGTGAAACATCCTGTACACTTTTTAAAACTGGTTACACAATAAAAACGTGTTTTCTTTCTAGTCGATTTTTTAAATTCAGTTGAAAATATGTATGTATATAAAAATATTTTTAATTAGTTAATTTTTCATTTTCAAACAAGATTTTTTGTTTAAATTTTAACAGTTTATTATCCTGAATTTAAATTGTAACAGTTGTATCACCTTAAATATATAAAAATTGGGAACAAGGTGAAGGAATTGTGAAACATCCTGTACATTTTTTAAAACAGGTATTTCAACTAAAATCCAGAACTACATTCTTTGGAGTAGATTTCAAACGTGCTTTATTTCTAGTCGTTTATTAAATTCAGTTGAAAATCTACCAAAATATTTACTCATTTTTTTATTTTTTAACGAGATTTTTTTTGTTTTTAATCTGCATATCGGTTTTATCAATTACAAGCAAATCCATTCGACCTCCACGAACTGAAGTAATTAAAAACGATTGGCGCCCAATCACTTGTGCATATTCAGATACATATTTCAATAATTTTTTTGCATACTTTTGCATATTTATGAAACCGTCGTTGGTGTCTGCTTTGCTGGGGAATTTAACCAAAATTATTCTTATTATTAGTCATTGCCGAGAAACAATAAGAGAAATTTTGCATAAATATGCATATTTTGACGATTTAAAAAAAAAAAAAAAACATTCACTCCAAAAACTGAAGATTTCCAATAGCGCCACACCGGTCCATCAACCGCCTAAAAATAGCCCTTATCCCACGCCCAAACCCAAAAATAGCCCGTTTCCCATCTCTATTTCCGACACACTCATCTCGACCGCAACAAACGAAGTCTCCCCGTACCACAGCACCAGTTATTTACAACTGTGGGTTTTGCCGACTAAGTATATCGCTTTTACAACTTTCGCGTCTTCACGTTACCTTTCAGGCCCGAGGTTGAGGATTGGGCCTGCTGCATGTGCAGCCTGGTGAGCCTCCTGACCGGCGGATGTTGTCGGACGTCGACGCTGGCGCACACAGAACTCTCCCCGTGGACGAAGAACGCCAAAGAGAACGAAAGATGTGTCATGGTGTAGTCGTTCTTCTTCGGACCCTCGTACGGCTGAACGAACCATTTTCCCAACCTGATGAAGTCGCGAGAGAGCAGACATCGCTCGATCAGGTTGTGCAGGGCTTTGAACAACAAAGACCTGCACTCGTAGGACAGGCCGCTCTCCCACGAGCCCTGTTCGCAGTCTGGAAAAAACAAAGAGTTAGATTCGAAAATTGGGTTACTTGTACTGGAGTGCTGGTGGAATGTCGGTGCTATTTATGTCGGGTGAACAAGAATGAAACTAGGAAGTGAGAAGATGCAAACACTTGCATAAGAGTTATTTTCGGAGGCTGCTGGAATGGTTCGCTGAGTGCGGCGCGGCACGAGGTGAAAGGGCGCCGAAGAAGCGTGACCAGGCGGTTTTTTTTTCATCACCTTCGAAATTTTGGTGACGTCACCTCAAAATTTTACTACTAAGACGATATTAAAAAAAAACATTTAAATGGAAAATAACAACATTTAAAACGATAAGCGAAAGTTAAGTCGAACAAAGGAATCAAGTCGATTTTTACTCATCGTTTCGACATTCTTGCGGTGCGAAATGATCGAGAAAATAAATAATTAAGTCTCCTCCCAGTAGAAAAATTCCGACAATCGCCCGAGCCGCTTTCGAGCAAACCGTAAATCTGTGTTTACTCGACAGGTGCACTGACCTTGTTTCGCGCTCAACAGGCTCAAATAACTCCATGTCATCAGCCAAAACGAAACTTGTTTAGCGTACATACACCCGATGTCACTTTCAATGCCCCCACGGAGCGTCCGCACGCGCCTAACCCACCTATCGTGCGTAGGGGGTGGAGACAATTTATATAATAATTCAGGAGCGCTGAAATAAAGGCGAATTCGTATTTTCCCGCCAAAAGTGAACCAGAACCCGCACTGGCGATTATCGCCCTTGTTTTGTTCGTTTCCCCGTGGATGTAATGAAATTTGGTTCAAAAATGTCTTCACGTCTCTGTAGGACATAGAATGGGTTTTTGTTATCAATGGAAGAAACAATGCAGTGATTTGAAAAATAATAACTAAAAAAGATGGCGATGTAAACAAATGTACAATTTATCGGTCAATTATTTTGTAGTGGCACGTAAATATAAATGAGTAAACAAATAAATTGTATAAAGAAACGTGTTTTTAATCTTGAAGAGACAAATATACTGGTGGAATTAAACACAAAGCCGATAACAAACACGACAAGTCAGAATTTCTACCAAATTTTTTATATTTGCATTTTTTAAACCCAACATTTTTATAGTTTTCGATTCTCTATAAAAAAATCGAATACGAGAGTTTTTCATTAATACGTGGTTTTCAAAATATTTACATTTTTTAATAGACAAAATTTGTGATCCCACTGGTTTAAATTTGAAAAAGTACCTTTTTGACCACTTCTTCAAAAAACCGAGTAAACAATCAAAAAATTATCAAAAAAAAAAAGGAAGTTAAAATGGGCTTTAGTAAAACAAACACAATTACAAGCTTACATAAAACTTTTAATGGTGTAATTTCGAATTTGGAATCATTTTTATTACATCTATTCAAACAACCGAAAAGTAGTAATAATTTTCCAAAATTTTTCTACAAAATGTTTTAACGAACTTTATTCAAATGGAGAAAAATGCCTTAAAGTTCTCCGCAAAGACCTCGAATTTGAAGTCAGTCTTTAAAAAATATTGTCAAAATGAGAAAATGTAATTCAAAAATTTTTCAAAAAAATGTTAAAAGGGATTCTATACAGGAGAAAAAGATAATCTTACAGACAATATTATCTAAATTTACGAATTTCAAGTCATTTTTGGTACAGTTTTCCAAATAATAATCGACAAAAAAGGAAAACATTTTCCAAGAATTTTCCAAAAAATTTTTACATGGTCTTTATCCAAAGAAAAATACGAAAACTTATAATAAAGTTTTCGTAGATTCCGAATCTGAAGCAATGTTTTGTTTATTTCTTTAAAGAAGCAAAAACAACTGGAAATTATTAGTCAAAAAGTTCCAAAACTAAGCTAAAAGAGGTGCCATTCAAGTGAAAAACGAAAAACGAGAAACTAATGAAGAATTTTTATTGATCAATTAGTATTTTTGTTAATTAACAAGGCGAAAAAATGGGAAAACATGTTCTGAAAATTTCTCAAGTGTTAAAACTGGTTTTATTTGAAAACAAAAAATAGATATTCTTACATGCAATATTTCCTAGATTTACGAATCTGGAGTCATGAAGTTATTTTTGCTATAGTTGTCCAAATAATTGACAAAAAGTAAAACATTTTACAAAAATTTTCAAAAAACAAAATGTTCACACGGTTTTTATCCAAAAGAAATTACGAAAAAATGTTACAACAATCATTTTTGTTAATCTCTCTAACAAAGCGAAATGATAGGAAAATAATAAAATATGTTTCAAAGAATGTTGAGAAAAGTGTTAAAAAGCGTTTTTTTTATTCGAAGAAAAGATCTTATAGGCAATATTTCCTAGACTTACGAATCTGAAGTCATTTTTGCTGTAGTTTTCCAAATAATCGCCAAAAAAGAAAAATATTTTCCAAAATTTTACAAAAAAAAAGTTTAGACGGTCTTTATCCAAAGGAAAATACGAAGAAACTGATCATAAAGTTGTCGTGGATTACGAAACTGAAGTCATGTTTTGATTATTTTTTCAAAGAAACAAGAACAACTGGAAAACATTAGTCAAAAATTTCCAAAAAGACGCTGAAAGAGGCGTTATTCAACTAAAAAAACAAAAAACCCCAAACAAATGGAGAATTTTTATTGACCAATTACGAATTTGAAATAATTTTTACTAATCTCGTTCACAAAGCGAAAAAAAAATTGGAAAATATCTTCCGAAAATTTTTCAAAACAGTGGTAAAAAGGATTTTAAATGGACAAAAAAAAAAGAATCTTACAGGCAATATTTCCTAAATTTACGAATTTGAAGTCAATTTTGCTGCAGTTTTTTAAATAATCGATAAAAAAGAAAAACATTTCCCAAAAATTTTCCAAAAAAAAAAAAAATTCCACGGGCTTTATCCAAAAGGAAATACGAAAAAATTAATCATAAAGTTTTCATAGTTTACGAAACTGAAGTCATGTTTAGATAAAATAAGAACTAGAAAATATTAGTCAAAAATTTCCAAGCAAAAACCGAAAAACGCCAATGATGTGAAGAATTTTTATTGCCGAATTAAGAATTTGAAATCATTTTATGTTAATCTCTTTACCAAAGCGAAACAACATTTTCCAAAAATTTTTCAAAAAATGTTTATACAGTTTTTATCCAAAGAAAATGCGAAGAAACTTATAACAAAGTTTTCGTAGATTATGAATCTGAAGTCAAGTTTTGTTTATTTCTTCAAAGAAACAAGAACGACTAGAAAACATGAGTCAAAAATTTCCAAAAACTAAAAGAGCAAACAAATTTTGAAAACAGTGTTAAAAAGGGCTTTATCCGAACAAAAAAATATTACAAAATATTTTCCTCCGTTTACGACTCTGAACATTTTTGCTATAGTCTTCCAGACAATAGACAAAAAAGAAAAACATTTTTCAAGCATTTTCCAAAAAAAAAAAAAATGTTCACACGGTCTTTATCTCAAAGAAAATACGAATAAACTTATAACAAAATTTTCGTAGATCACGAAACTGAAGGTGTATTTTGATTATTTCTTCTAAGAAACAAGAAGAACTAGAAAACATTAGTCAAAAATTTCCAAAAAGATGCCAACTGAGGTCCCATTCAAGCAAAAACCGAAAAACGGTAAACATGTGAAGAATTTTTATTGCCGAATTAAGAATTTGAAATCATTTTATGTTAATCTCTTTAACAAAGCGAAACATTTTCCAAAAATTAAAAAAAAAAAATGTTTATACAGTTTTTATCCAAAGAAAATACGAATAAACTTATAACAAAGTTTTCGTAGAATACGACTCTGAAGTCAAGTTTTGTTTATTTTTTCAAAAAAACAAGAACAACTATAAAATATAAGTCAAAAATTTCCAGAAAGACGTTAAAAGAGCAAAAAAAGAGGATAAATGTTTCGAAAATGTTTCAAAAGTGTTAAAAAGGGCTTTTTATTTTCCTCCATTTCCGAATCTGAACATTTTTGCTAGTTTGTTTCTAATATTTTCCAAAAAAAAAATGTTTACACGGTCAACAATCAATAAAAAAGGAAAACACTTTCAAAAATTTTCCAAAAAAAAACAAAAATTTTCACGGACTTCATCCAAAAGAAAATACGAAAAATTAATCATAAAATTTTCATAGTTTGCGAAACTGAAGACACGTTTTGATAAAATAACAACTAGAAAACATTGGTCAAAAATTTCCAAAAAGATGCCAACAGAGGGCTCATTCAAGCAAAAACCGAAAAACGGCGAACATGTGAAGAATTTTTATTGCCGAATTAAGAATTTGAAATCATTTTATCTTAATCTCCTTACCAAAGCGAAACATTTTCCAAAAATTTTTCAAAAAAGTGTTTATACAGTTTTTGTCCAAAGAAAATACGAACAAACTTATAACAAAGTTTTCGTAGAATATGAATCTGTAGTTAAGTTTTGTTTATTTCTTCAAAGAAACAAGAACAACTAGAAAACAAGTCAAAAATTTCCAAAAAAAATGCTCAAGTAAAAAACGAAAAACGCCAAACGTTTGAAGAATTTTTATTGCCCAATTTCGAATTTGATTTTAGAATTTATTTATTTACGGTTTTACCATTTAACGAAATATTACATTTTAAGAGCCGTTTTTACATTAAAAGTAGAACAGGGAACACTGTAAAAATTCTAAGTCATGGCGGAGATTAATAGCTAGATTACATAATCTGGGAACTATAGAACTAGAACCATAAGCAGTTCGTTGGTAAGGAACACCAAATAACAGTGGATTTCTAACGTTTGAAATAATTTTTGTGAATCTCTTTAACGAAGCGAAAAAATGGGAAAACATGTTCCGAAAATTTTTCAAAACAGTGTTAAGAAGCGTTTTATTCCAACAAAAAAAAAAACTTACGGGAAATATTTCCTAGATTTATGAATCTGGAGTCATTTTTGCTATAGTTTTCCATATAATCGCCAAAAAATTAAAACATTTTTCAAAAATTTTCCAAAAAAATGTTTAAACGGTCTGTTTCGAAAAGAAAATACA